GACACGAACTTCACTCTGTTCTCCTCCTACATGGCCTGCTGTTAGTGTTTTTGTTTGTGTGTGAGGGTGGACAACATGGACAGGCTGCTGACTGGCTACAGCTGCTAAAGGAGAACGCTACGCTGGCCACTTGTGATATTTTAAGCATCTGATGTTTTTACAGAAATTGTTATGGCTGTATTGATTAAAAAAAACAACAACAATGTGGTGGGTCCACCAGACCACTGAGTAACAAACACATCAACACCACACAAGGGTTAAACAGGAACAATATGTACATGTATTTACTACATTTACTGCATTCTTTCATAGAAAAACATGTATAATAGCAGATTAGATAAGTTTGATATGTACCAAGTCATCATTTATATTTAGTATATCATTATTCATTTTCTATTGGGAAGTGTCTGTCCAAAACCCTAATCCCTAAATTTACACTTTTGAAAATAATGCATAATTTTTTTTTTAAGTTTTGTAAAAATATGTTTTTGATGAAGTAAAAAAAATGAGATTTAACAAGAAACACTTGTATTTGTATAAATACAAATAAAAAAACTACTTAAAAAATGCTGTCTCAGGTTTTCATGTCACCACCGAAACACACAGGGGTTCAGTCCATAGCCTCATTTTAGCCACACCCCTGCATTTTAGAGCAGGAAGTAAGACTGCATCCCTCTCCCTCACGGCCACAGGGTGAGCAGTCAGAACCCACTGTTTTAGTAAATGTCTCCCAAAGCCTGAAAATTAGTGTGGAACATTAAGAACTGTCTCTACCAAAATGCATATTTTGCCAATTAAACAAAATTTGGTGTTTTAATGAAAAATGTGATGATTTTCTGTGTGCACAACTGATCCAAGTTAGTCATGTTCTGGCTAGAATTTTTTAGTCCTGCTCAAACTGAGCTAAAATTGTCACTACCAAAACAATCGCTACTGAAACATTTGGTAAAGTTTCCGTAGTGTCATGATTGCTTTGTTCATTAAAACCAGAATGTTTACTAATTTATTTTGAATAAAATAAACATAATTATGGTGTAGGGTCACTGAAAGCAAAATGGTGTCAGTCTAAATTCCAAGTAAAAGTCCAAAATGTGTTTTGAACTCTGACTTTGAACCAATTCGGCAGAATGATCCATTAACAACTGTATAAATAATTTGCTTTATCAAGTATCACATACAGAAAATATAAACAAAGTCTTAAAAACAAACAGAAACCAACTGCTCGACCTCTGCTCTGGCCTACAAATCAACTGTAGCTCACAGAGAGCCTCATATAAGAATCCGCACGTGAACCGGGAATAGTGTGTGTGTGTGTGTATTGGAGGGGGGTGCATGGCATGTACACAAATGATTAATAATTTTCATTTAATACTTCACTGGCATTAATAAAGAATACGACTACAGCCTGGCTTTAGTTTTTATCGTTGGGGTGCCCAGTCCTGGTCCTGAATACCTCCCACCCTGCAGAGTTTAGCTCCAACCCTAATCTGATCCAGGTAATGAAGGCCTTCAGAGGAATCTGGATATTAGAACCAGGTGTGCTGGATTTGAACTCTCCAGGGTGGAAGACCTCCAGGACCAGGACTGAGTACCTCTGGTCTACTCCATGCTCTGTATCACTATAGATAAAATATCAAGCTATGAGAGCTTGTTTTATACCAAAATCCATGAGGCCCAGCAGCAAAGCAGAATGCAAGTGACAGCAAAATGCGGTACGTGCTAATGTACTAGTGTATATTAAAATAATAAAATATAAATATAAATTAATATAAAAATATAAAATATAACGTAAACAAAAATGCAGCTTTACTTTGCTCTGCTCAAAGCTTGAGCTCAGCTATAGCTGCCTTTCTCGCATCTCTGGCAGGAAACTTTCCTCAAAAGTAGAACAGTTTCTTGTAAAATGTCTCTCAACTTTCGACTTTTTACAAGGCTGCAGTCAGCTTCTCATTCGCCAGCTTCTTGTTCGAATTTTCCTGTTCCACCTTAATAGGTGCCAGAATGTAACAGCTGCACCATTTAATGTGGAACCTATGAGAAGCTGACTTGTGACTTTTTAGTCTGTGACAGTTACTCATTGCACATTAAACGTATCAGGAAACCAGCTGGAGTGATTATAAATGCAATAAGTCCATTTGTCCCCAAATTATCGATGTTCATCTTAAATCTCTCTCTTTGCCTTTTCGTTAGCTACTAGCTAGGCAAGACTGTTGTCTGTTGCTATGGTGACCAGCAGTCTGTGCGCCAACCTTCAGGGTTTAAGGGTGAATTAGCAGACATAGGCTACATTAACGCCAGCGTTTAGGACCATTTATTGTCAAATCTTCACCTAAAAATCAAATTCTGCTATGGAGCCGCAACAGAGCAGTAAAAGGGCCACACGCTGCCGACCCCTGCGCTATACGAATAAATCTCATTCGAATAAAACCTAACTGAATCGCACCGAGTAACAAATCAAGATCACAATTAATACGATTGACAAACGCTGGACAAACAGTACACTGCAGTACAGTTTCTGCCAAAAAGGAAAGTTCCTCACATCGGCTGTTTCCTTTCTTTTCTAGTAATAAGCAAAATTCAGTAGTTTCTTCCTTCCTATGTGATGTGCAGAACCAATCAGACCTTATCTGCTGTATTTTATGTTGAAGTTCTTTCATATCTAGACAACATCGTGAAATAAACTCAATGACAGTTTTTGTTTTTGTGACATCTTAGTCAGAAGACAGTTCTTGAGATTCATATTTAATCACTTGATTTAGACAAAAGTCATATTTAATCAGGCTTAAACTTTCAGGTCCGGGTTTCATCGTCTGTATTTTGGAAACCAGCATTCAGAGTTCTTATCAGTGACTCAGATCCACATCTCCTCCCACACAAGAATGAAAGCTTTTCATCACATCACATGTTCTCACAAGATGAAGAATGCAGGAGGAGAACTGAGAAAGGGCTCTTGGGATTCAGAGAGCGACAGACTAACTGCGTAGTAATGGTCTTAGTAATATCTTTCGAGGGCTCTGTAGCAGACCACCCACTGCATTGTTAAATAAATGAGCAAACAGAGTATAATTTGCGTTGGTGGCAGGTTCAATTGTGTTTGGGTTCAGTTCTGGACTGCAGTCAGCCTTTTTACCATCACCAATCAATACACACTGTATAAATGCTCAAATAGCTTAGTATCAAATATGTAAATATTTTTAAATACACAAAGACACATATGTAAATATATGCAAATATACAAATAAGTAGCAAATATTAAAAAAAACACCTTACATAATCAAACATTAACTTGCAGTGGGACAGTTGTGTGAACAGAGCAGAATGTTTTAATTTATCATTTAACGTTTAATAAAGCAGTGTCTTATCAGGATACATTCCAAATGATGGACTCTGTTACCATCACAGAGCGGCTTTCTGCAGGCCCCTAGTGTCCACTCTGCTGGTGGAATGGAAATTGACACTGATATGTTTAATTAATACATTCAAATATAGGTTTTCTCCCCATAACTCAATGCTAACGTTAGCAGATTAACCAGGACACTGTTAGCTGTGACATGTGACTCTATGTTGAGCTGCTAGAGAGCAATGAGAAAAGAATCCCCTGCTGTAAAAAACCTTCAATTCAAACAATCGTGTATAACTGCCAGCACAAAAAATAGCATTTAAACACAATACAAACACTTAGAAATGTTGACTAGCAAAAAAAATTAAAAATCCAGCTTGTTTATAATCAAACTCATTTCCTTTGAAATTTATTTAATTAATGCTATTTTAAAAATGCAGAGTTGAACTCTGGGATGCCTAAAACAGGTGGAGAATGCATTTTATGGCTACTGTGAAAAGGGGATAATTATAAAATATCCAAAAAATACTTGAACATTAATAGAAATTCCATCAATAATCACAATAATCACAGTAAAATGGATCAGCATGAAGAAAGATAGCATTCATTGCGCTGTTGTGTTTTCTATCACTGTGTAAAAGATGCACTGTGATTTAGTCCGAGCAGACTGATTCAGAGCTAATAGGAGAAAAGGTAAAGCATGACTGATGTGCGACGTATATCCCTTTCAATTAATTTTCTAGTTTTCATATTGTTAGATCAACGTCTTTACATATCAAATAAAAGTAACAACAGCACTGAATGTTCATGTATGTTTAGATCTAAAACAAGGACTTTTATTTGTATGGCGTGGTGTTCTTGTCCGTGTGGGTAATGAAAGTAGAAGAATAGATTAACGTGAAAAATAAGTGCATGTTAAACAACAGTAGGTTAATAGGTTTCCTTTAAACAACGTCTTAAAAGTTTTTAGTCATATATATAAGCTTTACTTCATGCATTGTTCTCACACTGGTTCTTGGGTCCTGGTGGATCTCCCAGCCAACAATATGAGTGGTTTAAGAGTGCCAGATTAGAAACTGTTTAAGTTAATAAAAACAAGCTGGAATAATAAAGTAGGGAATAACAGCACTGAAAATTCATATACGTTTAGATTCATCCATTTCAGAAACGCTCTTATTCCAATCAAACTACAATTTTATTCAGGTTACAGCGATATGGGAGTCTAAACCAAAGACTCTTACTGGTAAAGCATAGTGTTCTTGTCCGAGTGTGGAATCAAAGTAAAAGAGATTTGAAACCGTTTAAGGTAATAAAAACAAGCAGGAATAATAAAGTAGGGAAATAAACTGAAGCAGAGGTACATGCAGGCCAAAAGGTGGGAGACGGGTTATGAGTAACCCAATTGTGAAATCTGAACCTGACCTGAGCAAATATTTGAGAAAAGAAGTCCAAATGCAATCAAATCTGACACTAATAGTTCAGGTTCGGGCAAATATTTCAAGCTCTAATACAAACGTCCTCACAATCCATGACAGTTTGCCTTGAACTCTGCTGCAAAGTGTCCAAGAAACATCTTCATTCTGTGTTATTAGGCCACAGTAGTCTCGCAAGTATGTGACTGAAAATTCTTTCAGGATGAGTGTATCTCTCTACAGTTTACCTCAATCTCGCGGAGAAGTTCTGACTGCCCGCACGTCTCCAAGTCCTCCAGGGCCTGGCACCAGAAGCTGTCCTCGTGGTCCAGCATGATGCTGTCGGCGTGAGTCTGGCTGGCATATCTGTGGCAGAAAACAAGAACCAGAACCAATCAGGGCTTGGCACACTCAAACTGCCGCTGCCAACAAGCACCCTGGCACCATGTTTGGCACGACCATCAGGACCACAAGGCAGACTGGACGGGGGGACGGAGGCTTGAGGTCTCAAAGGCCTCAAAGTGCTTGAAGCTATTTTATGCAAGAATATGCCTGAGAACGGATATAATTTGAGACACTTGAATAGGGATCAGTTTGGAAGCAGTTTATGTCTTTGGGCATGCTGTGAGACAGATTTGTGCTTTGCAAGAAAAGAGAAAGAGGAAGAGAGAAGAGGGAAGAGAGAGAGGAAGAAGCTGATTATTACATTATGTATGAGAGGCCAAAACAACCCATCTCTTAAGTCAGTACTTTTCCATTCGCTCTGGTCTCTAGTAGTCAACTGGAATTTTCCTGAACGCCGTGCTGTTTATTAAGAAAGCAGGAAGTTAACGTGACGAAGACTGGTATTTCAGTAGAATTTGAAATATGTTAAGATAATATAAACAATGACTTCATTCCAAAGAAAATTGTTAGTGTGTTAGTCCTGGGGTTAATTAACCAAAATGAATAAAAAACCTTTTTCAGTATGTGTAAAGATAGATTTTATATGATCTGGGTTGGATGATGTGCTAAAAAAAAAAATTCTATAAAGAGTGACTTTTCCATAAATTGTCCCACACCAATGATTTTGCATTACTGTAAGTTAAACGTTGGCTGCATGAAAGAACTTCATTACCTTCATCAACATTACATGATTACTGTCTAAGCCAGAGGTCGACAACCTAAATGTTAAGAAGAGCTATTTTGTCCTTTCCACAAAATCAAACAACCTTGGGAGCCACAAAATTTTATGTCCATTTTACCATCTTGGCTGTAAATATGTCTCAGTATGTGCTGATGTCCTAGGATAGGCTAAGAATATAAGATAAACGACAACAGACTTACTTTGCTCTGCTTTAAGGTTTAGCTCAGCTATTGCTGCTTTTCTCGCATCTCTGGCAGGAAACTCTTTAATTTTTTTTCAAATTTTTACGAGGCTAAGTCAGCTTCTTATTCGCCAGCTTCTTGTCCAAATTTTCCTGTTCCACCTTAAACGGTGCCTGAGGTGCCAGAATGTAACTACTGCACCATTTAAGGTGGAACAAGAAAACAGGAACGAGAAGCTGACTTCAGGCTTGCGAACTTTTTCGTGTTTGACAGTTTCTTGTTGCAGATTAAACATATCTGAGTGATTATAAATGCTAATAAGTCCATTCATCTTCAAATTATTAATGTTCGTCTTAAATCTTTCTGTTTGCCTTTCGTTAGCTACTAGCTGGGCAAGACTGTCTGCGTTGCTGTGGTGACCGGCATTCTGTGCGCCAACATTCAGGGTTAAAGGTTGGTAAATTAGCAGTTATAGACTGCATTAACTCCAGCGTTTAAGACCATCCATTGTTAAAACTGTGTTGAACGATCAGCAGAGCTTTATTTTACTGCAAAGGATGATGATTTTATTTTCACCTTAAAATCTAATTCTGCTGTGGAGCCAAACCTTCATGGCCGACCGAACATAACTATTTGGAACACTGGTTTGTCAAAAGAAAGTGTGCCACTTAAAGCAGATCATTTAGTTACCTAATATCAGAACTTATTTCTGCTTATTATTGCATTTATTTAGTTTATACATACTGATTCATTTAGAATGGTGTCATGAAATAGCTGCCACATTTTTTATATTCCCAATAAAACTTAAATTAAAGTCAAATATGTAGTTGTTGTTGATGTTTGTTGTTTCATTTAGTTAAAGCCAGCAATGCTGTGTTTTGACTGCAGGGTTGTGAACTCCAAACTACATTTTTGTGGAGTCGCAGCTCAAAACAGTTTGTGAACTGTGTAGCCCTGCTGTCTGCTCTTCAAATTATCACCACATGTTTTTATGTGCATTAAATGCCACAGAACATAGAAATGAAGCACTGACATGCCCTGCATTTATTAATTCATTTGTTTACAACAATTTGCTGCACTATATACCATTACATGAATGGGTAGTCCTCTCCTTTAACTCTAGACACTTTTATCATTATCAAAGTATTTTTAGAAAATACTTATCAAAACATGCAGATCAGAGAAAGAATAGGATGCAACCATCTTTCTTTCCTGAATTCCTTGCTGAGGAAGCATGTCAATGACAAAAATAATTATACAAATATCTTTGATTCTGTGGCAATGGAACAGTCATAATGCATAAACACTTGTAAATTTTTAAAGGGAAAAGGTGAACAAATGCACTGTTCTAATTTGCTCATGCAGATTACAGAAGTGAAAGTAACTGAACACATTCCTCTACAGAGAACACACTTTTTAATGTACAATTACTGCTGAATTTAATATATTGGAAAAAAATAAAACGTGTAAACACTTTCCAGTATGTTAACTCAGCAAATAAATAGAAACGGTGCACTAAAATTTACAGACAAAAAGCCATATTAAAGTTTGTTCACTGTAGATGATGTGTTACTTATTTCCACTTACAAAATCAACGAAACATGCAATATGACTGGTGGTGCTCGAACTTTTGCATCCAACTATTAAAGCTGACCTTCTGCACTTTGACTTCAGAGTCATTGTTTCAGTTATTTTTCAGACCTTGCCTTCAAACATCGATTGTGGTTTTGGTTTTATGACTGAGGAGTGATTGTGAAACAACTGAAGAGGAAAAAATGAGCTGGAGTTCTGAATGGCTTCTGCTATCAGCTTGAAGATCAGACCCACCTGAATCGTAGGAGTAGCAGGTCCGAAAAGTATTTGGAATTTGCAGGGCGAAGCATCGGGTTGTCCTTTACCAAAACATGAACTGTGAACTGTGAATGTCTTGATTGTGCATTGCTCAATCGCAATTGCTCAAAAGTCCACATTTACGACAGACTCTGTGTCTGGAACTTGTCTAGTAATGAAGTATGGATGCTGAAGAAAAAAGACATCTATTGAACTACCTACTGAGTGATTTTATTTCTGGTGAACACTGGGGATGGCAAGCTGTTCAATAAGTGCACTTGTGAACCCACCCTGGCTTTGCAGCCTCTTTAATATTGCATTTTAACTGTGTCTTTTAATGTCTTTTAAACACCAGTGAGGCCAGTGGTTCCCAACTCCGGCCCCGGACATTTCAGTGATGTTCCTACTTGAACGCGCCCAGTCCAACTAATCAAGTCATTAACAAATCCTTCCTGAGATGGCATAGGTGTATAAGGGCATGGTTTCTGGGAAAAGCTGCATTAGGAGATGCTAACTCCATCCACAAACACTTTTTTCAAAGCAATTTCTCCCAGACGGTTCAATTTTAAGTTTTAATTAGAGATCTCAATACCCATTATTGGTTCTTCGAGAAATACCAGCATAAGATGCCTGATCTGATATTGCAAACCCAGCACCATTCTGTAACAAATCTAATCTGAAATATCCCAGAACTGCTTCAAGCACAATGTAACACAAACTGCCACACGCAGCCTTATATTAATATAATATTAACCTCCTACGCTAAGTATTACACTATAATTTCTATATATTATGCTGTCTAATCTTGCATTAATTTGTATTCACCATAATAAAAAATGTCTACCTGAAAAAAAAGCTGCAGTTCTCTATTGATGTGTTGTTGGCTTTGTAATTCTTGGATACCACATTAGGTATTGGGTTGTAACCCACTAGTTTGAGTCTTACCCAGCAGGCTTGTCCCAGTCATCCTCGCTGAATCCTCCGTCACTAAAGGGGTAGTTCTTACGGCGGGCAGGAGGGGGTGTGCTGTTCCTCTGCTTGGCACTACGCCACTCGTGCGGATGTAAGGCGATGCCCGCTGCCTGGTGGATGTACGCTCCTGTGTAGGAGGGGGAGGGTGAAGAGTGAAGAGTCTGATTTTTGAGTTTGGAGGTTTTACGTGTGTAGAAATATGACATGCATGTGTGATTACATGAAGAGGACACAATATCAGAGATAGTGCTGGACTGGGAATAAAGCCAAAGTACACACATTTTATCCTCTATAAAAAAAACCTACATAAATCAATATGTAGGCAAAACTGTTCTTCATACCAAGAAAGACACTGTGAGGAACATGAAGCTGAGTGCTGAAGATAAATATACTCAAAGCATAAACACAGAACTGCTTTGTGATAACAAAACCTTTGCAGGTACTGAAAAGTAACAGTGGAAAAAAATTAAATGTCAAAAGAATTGCTTCCGCAGAGAGGTGCACTGATAAGAAAACTCCAGGCCAAGACCGAAACCGAAATTCAAGATACACCTGGCTGAAAGATTTTTTTATTTGCATTTCATTTACACTTATCAAGTGTAGTAAAACATAAAAAAACTAAAGTAATAAAGAAACTACACTTTTATTATTGAAAAATAAGGTTTCAATTGTATAAAACTGACAATAAATAAAAACAGCTAACCTAAATAAACTACAATTCTTACTAAAATGTAAGATACAGCATGTGCCATAAAATAAAGCGTCCTCAACAGCACAGAACAGCTGGTCATCCATTCCATCGTTTTTTAGTTAGACTTTGCATTTTTGCACTGGTATTTGTAATTTTTTCATCATGTAAAAGCTGCAGAGTCCACAGATTTTGCTGTATTCTGCATAATAAGTGGGATGTTGTGTGTTCAAGTGCTGTCATACCTCCTCTTGATGCATGTGATGAACAGTGACTACAAATCACTCGTCTAAAGTTCCTCGTAGAAACCACAAAATGGTTCCACACTAACAAAACCTTTTTCCCCACTGTTGATCTGCTGCTGCTCAAACTGTTTGAATGTGTCTGTGCTGACTGGCGCAGGAGAGTGAAGAAAACAAAAGCTCACCTTGGCTACCGTAACCAGCGTCGATACCAGATCCATCCCACGACTCCATGGCCGAGTCCACGCTGGGAATGGTGGTGGAATAAATCTCGGACAGCTTATTGGTCTTCTGTGAGTCTGTCATCTCTGAATCCTCGTTATCACTCAGGTCGTTCTCCAGATCGATGTTTTTCTTCTTCTCGTCTGCCACTTGAGAAACAGTGAAATCCAGGAAATTAGTGTTTTGGGGAGGGTATCAATTGAATTTGCCTTTCGTTAAAAATGACAGTATAGTTTCATGCACATTCGTCATAATATAGGCTTTTACTAGACAAAAAAACACCTCCAGATAAATTACACACAGAGTATATACACTGATATACAAACAGGTCATAATTTGAGTGTGAATAGTACCTGATAAGACTTCACTTGAGCCCTGCTACATAGCCCTGACATAATCATGCCATAAACATGTCATGGTAGATGTCATATGCTATCACAAGTTGTCATGACAGATTATACTCAGTAATATAACAGTGCCATGTTACCATTACTGTTAATTGTCATGACAGATGCAATAAAGTTTGACACGTTGCAAAAGTTAACATGTGACATAAGCTGTCATAACATCAGTACATGTAATTTATACTGTAAAACTGTTGAATGTTCTGTGTAATTTTCTGCTAAATATACATTTTTGCTTGTTTTCCTGCTGCTCAAAAACTTGAACTTAATGATCGTTTTAACTGGAAATTAGATAATTAAAGGGGGGTCTCTGATATTTACACAATACTGTACATCTATTGAACTGAATATGAACTCATTAAGCCTTAGTGTGCCTATTATCTGGAATTATCTGATTCTAGATATCAGGCACATTAAGGGTACATATGTTCACTATTTGAAGATCATTTCAGTGAAGTGTGCAAATGTGTGAAAGCCTATAGTTAATGTTTGTGAAATTATTTTCTTAGTTATTCCTTTGCAATGTCCCAGTGAAAGCAAGCCTGGTCCTAACAGCCCCCCGGTGCATAATTAAGCACTAAACCTATAGGCAGAACTTACTGTCTAGCTGCTTCTTAATTTTCAGGGTGACAGTCTCGCCTGCCATTTGCAGTAAGTGGATGGCTTCACTCAGAGGTTTGCCTTTCAGGCTGACGTTGTTGATGGCTAAGATTCGATCCCCGACATGAATAGCTCCAGTTCTGTGAACAAGAACAAAAAACAGGTTTCAAGGGAAAACAATGAAGATAATAATGTATGTACATCAACAGACTGCGCAATGCTAAAAAGCTTATGCTGATATACATATTTACAATACCTGTAATTTACAGAGGTGGCAGTTTAAGTGCACCTACCTTGTACCTGAACTTAGGGGCCATTTTATGAGAAACACCTACCATATAGACAGAATTTGTACGTTTACAATTACTGTCTGTAGCTCATCACTTGCTGCACAGTTTATCAGCCACCCACTACCACATTTCTTGATGGAAAGGGACCACCATAAGACCAGACCATAACATCAGGACCGTCTGTGTACCCATAGACACATCTACCTTATAGAGTCAGTAAGAGACTATGGGGCAGATTTACTAAGAGAGGCACTAACTTCAGACAGACACTATGCACCGGTGGGGGTGAATACTTTAGTGGCTTATGTAATAAAAACTTTCATAAAAAATAAGCATTGACACAATGTTACAGCAAACAAATGACCAATGCAATATAACCATGTGTTTTGTTTTTTGCCAGATAGGAGAAAAAATAGTCTTGGTTCTGATTCTGCTCCAAATTTGGTCAAAATAATGACTTATTTTCTCTGGATTTTAATAAGTTTAAAATATGATCTCTGGACTTAATAAGTTTAAAATATGATGGAAAAATGAGTTATTACTCATTTCTGTTTCAGATCACATAAGGCACAGGCAAAGTTTAGATTTTTGTGCTTTCAAAAATCATTTGGAAAACAGTCAAATAATTATTTAGACAAAAACAGCTTTAATAGTGTTGTAAAATGGAAATGGCATTCCATTAAAAATAAATAAATGTGTTTGAAAAACTCTCTTTTCTCTCAGCACAAATAATGACAGCCATGTGAGTGCCCAAAATGCAACACATAGTCAGCATAGTCAGTATTTACTAACATTCTTGGTTGAGGCTGGATTGAGAAATTCAGTCCTGGACTTTCTTCTAGACTACTCTACTACAATCACAGTGACCCCACCACGACCCCCCAAAACCTCAATTCACTTTACCTTAGACTACATAAGAAACAACCATGCGTTTCTCTCTTCCTCACTCTATCATCAGCCCACACACATAGTGGCCCTGCAGGGATTTGTCCTGGTCTTCCTGATGGCCAGTCCATCCCTAGTCTTGGTAAATGGGGTAGGTGCATTATCATCCTCTTCTCTCAATTCTTGGAGAGAGAAACTCTTATAAATGCATATGCAAGTTAGCAGGGGAGCGGCCCTTGTTATGAGTGCTGAAGAGCCGTCATGGTTCCACAGTAAATCATCACAGTTGCCAAAATACGGTTTGTGATGGTGCAAAACATTAGTAAGTCCGATCCTATAGCTCATCTTTTTCCATGCATGTTTTCTCAAAGTCATTGTCCAGCCCAGCAAGTCCCAACCCAGTCCTGAGGGCCTACCAGACACTCCACGTTTTTCCCTCATCCCTGAGGACCATCCTGGAGGTCTTAAGGACCAGGTCTGGAACCAATGCTGTTGCCCTTCATCAATGGTCAGTTTCTGACCAGAGGACTGCTCTTGGTTTGCTATTTTTGGGTGGTGGTAGACTATTTTCAACCTAGCTGTGACACTGAGACGTTTAAAAACCCCAACAACAACACAGTGCCTGATACACTTGTACCAGCACCATGCACACTACGGTATCAGTGTCACCGTACTGAGAAAGGTCCACCACTTGATATCTTGTCAGTGGTGGTCCCATGGCGGTCCCTTTCTACTGATGAATGAGGTGGAGGGTGAGTGATAAACTGTGCAGCAACAGATGGGCTGAAGTTACAAAGCGCACCAGCATGGTAGGTGTTTCTGATAAAATGGCCGAGGTAGGCCTGCCTAATAAACTAAGTGTATGTATGCTGCGTATCTTTTATCGTTTGATATTTGGCATCTGGTCAAGCTTATGCAAAGTTCAAACTGAACGTAAAACAAAATGTCAGCAGATAATCCACTTATCAAACATACAAACTCAATTACACCCACGGTAAAGTCAGCCTTTGCTGACACCCATTATTCAATTATCCAAGAACATAAAATTTGTTTGTATATTTTCCACAAATATACATACTATGTTACAAAACAGTTATATCAATATATCACCATAGACCTGTAAACAAAAGATGATTGTTTTTAATTAGCGAAAAACAACTTGATAACACTTTATTTGAAGACTACCTATTTAGGGACTTCATAGTACATGCATAGGCACTGAATAATACATATACAAAGCATTGCTTCAGTAATGATAAGCAGCTTATGCCAGTAATAGCAAGATGCATACATAAGGGCCCTTAAACTAAAGTAATATACGCTTTTGATTTTAATATTTAATAGATAACTCAAGTAGAAATAAAAATTAAAACTTTTACTGGAGTAATATTTTACAGAGTATTTTTATGTAAACTCCTGCATATTGAGCATTGTTATGAACAGTGTTATAAAGAAAACAAAGGTCTTTCACAACAGTTTATGGCCCCTTCTGTCAAGGCAATGTCATTTACTTCACATAACATCTTGGGGGAATCTTGCAGGTACTGGCATAAGCTGTTTATAAATGTTCATGTATTGCTTTATAAATATGTCCCTTCAAATAAAGTCCTACCAACAACTTGATATAGGCCTCTGTATGCGGTATCATAGACCTAACATGAGAAACAAGTAGAGGTCATACAAAAAGACCTGAGCAGAATACAGGGGTAAACACAAAGACCCCAAACTTGCTGCCGTGAGGTTGAACATCTAACAGTTTGGAGAAACCTGATAAACTTTGCTGAAAGTAATCCTCCATGGATGTAACTTTCTTTCTTTTCTGTTCTAGATCTCTTTAACTTGGCTTGGTAAGTTCACTAGCCTCCCACGTGAAATGTTAGTGTTGTTACCTCATAAGGCCTCCTTATAGAGGCCATTAAAGGAGCTGTAAAAGTGGCCCTGAGAACGCACGCACCTGAATGACTTCAAACAATTGCAGGCACATTGTGCCAAAATTGGGTGGCGTGGTAGAATTCACAGCAGATGACCAGTGGAGCTATGACCTCAAGTGTGCCTTTACAGCAGTTATTTTTAGTGCACTTAGATGACTTAGATGGCAGAAAAATAAGTGTTGACTGAAAGTTCAGACTTGAGCAACAATGTAACAAGGTTACCATGACATATTATACATCGTTGTTGTTATGCTATAAAGCTGCCATCTACACTATCTTTTCTTGTGACATTGCAGGCCAAAAGTTTGGAAGTGGCACTAACTTCGTTAAAATTATTGTATTTTTTTCAATTAATAACAGACGTTGAGTGCGTTTACATGCACTTAATAATCCGATAACTGCAGAAAATCAGATTGTGTAAGTAATCCGATCAACACATTTATAAGCACTTGAGTAATGAGATAATGGGGAACTCCAGGTCTACATGAGTCAGACATGGTCAGATTTCTGCTTCGCAACCAGCCAATAAACTCACAGAAGAACAGCTGACGTAAACATAAGGTAAAACTCAAATTTCATGCTGCAGCTTTTATTTAGAAGAACATCGCGCCACTGTACCTGAAAATGTGAACATACATCATCTAGAAAGATGAAGAATATTTAAATTCTTTATTTTGTCGAGAACGTGTTTGGTTTTAGCATCGCTCCAAAAGTGTTTTGCTACCGTCTCCCAGCAACGCTGCTCACTTATTTCCGGTACAGTAGACTGTTCTGCACATGCACAGACTGAGAAATCCAAAAGAACTGAACTAAACTAAAATTACGGAACTAAAATCCAGCTCTCTTTATCAGATTTCTTGGTTGGATTTCTAGACCTTACTCCGATCTAAGAAATAGGAGTATGCTGTTTACATTATCATTTGAATAATCGGATAACTGGAGAAATCTGATTATGATTGGATAACTGAGTGCATGTAAACGCACTCAATATATTTATACAGCTTCGTGTGAAAATTTTAATTTTGGCCATGTTGTCCACCAATAATTCAGTCTGCTGGAAAAATGGTACAAACTGTCACTAGTGGTAACACCATGCAAAACCTACATTGTGTTATCACTCAGAAAAAAATGGCTGACATGCATCGGCCAATTTTTGCAACCTCCTGACAAGTTCTACCCTAAAAACTTGCTACACCCCAAGCACTCCTACAGGCAGTTTTAACGTAGGACTCGAAATGCAAAGATGAGAGTCCATATACAGTCCACACTTCTGAACTTTATCGCAATGGGTAATGTCTTTATTGACCATCAGATCAACCTGAAAATGCATTACCCCCTGTAAATGAACAGAAAAGGGTTATATATTCAACATGAGCACATCTGCTTTGACTTTAAAACTCCAACATACAAAGTAAAAATGTTACATGCAGGCCTACAAAGCTTCAATCATTGTTTAAGCTAGAGCTGTGTGGAATTAAACTCAGTGTGGGAAAGTGAATGTGCACCACAGTTAACTTGACACTAACATGACACTGCAAATCCCATAGAGACTGAATCCCATAGCTAGCTGAAAATACCATAGCAGTGGAAAGCAGATACTTACAACGTGAAAGTTTCTATATGAAATTCTGCTATTTTATGACACATATGACAAAAAACATCCCTGAATTCACTTAAATATCCTATGTTTTATTTTATGTTGGTAAAAGTTAGCTAGGTAAGGTAGCATGCGTTTGGATAGTTTGCAAGCATTAGCTGTGTAATGTTACAGCCAGCTTTATGAACATTTACATAATGGAAAACTGAAAAACAATATTAAATCATAGTGGTGAAGATGGTCCACTGCTGCTTCAGGAAAGTACTTTTGCTGCTTAGTTTAGTAGTAAAACTGTTACTTTATGTTCTGGTGTTTGATAAGGTGTTTGATACAGTATAATCAACCTGTACTGTAAATGTTTTTCCAGAATTTAAAACAGGACGATGTCTTGATTGATTTTTGATTATCCTAATTTAATTTCTAATTTAATTTTTCATTTAATGATTGTCTCTTTTAAATCTATTGTTTTAATCATGTTTTAATTATATTTTTAATTTCTATTCTACTGTACTTTCTCATTTGTAAAGCACTTTGAATGATAGCAGTGTATGAAAGATACTATATAAATAAACCTGCCTTGCCTTGTCTGTAAAAACACATTTAAAGTATCACACTGGCTTGAACAGAGTGCATTATTGTAAAAATTATAGAAATTCTTAACAAGACACATAAGGTAACTTTCTCCTCAGTGAATATGGAGACATGTTAGCTTGTCAAGATAACATGGAGAACTGTGAAATATCTAACTTCAGCTAGTTAGTCTAGCTGGAGTACTTCCAACACTGAGACATAACTACAGCAACGTGCAATACTAGTGCAATACTAATCTGTATGGTCTGTTTTTAGCTTCAACTACTTTACATGTGAGAAGCTGATCTTATGAGAATCCCCCATCAAATTGTAACAGCATCTACTATTCGTTACACCAGAAACTGGATTAAAGGTCTGGATTTGAGGGCAACACCAATGGAATATTACAGAACAATCTGCTTTGGTTAAATCTTTTGATTTTGGTTAAACGTAGATACAAGTAAATGGACTTTGCCCTTTTAAGGAAAAAAAAACACACCTGCTTCCACACTTCTGGCCAAAACAAGCCCTGTCCTCTGTCAGGACAACCTATTTTAGGATAGACCGCCTCTGACCCCATCTTTGATTAAAAAAGAAAGAAAGAATCTGCCGTTTACGCCACATCACAAGTCAAGGGGCCACATACCATCCCCCTGGGGGTCTGGAGTCGACCGGTCTGACCCACAGCACTCACCTTTCAGCCAGACCTCTCTTGGTAAGGCCTGAGATGATAATGGGGTCAAAGGGCTCCTCCGTGCCTGAGATGGTGATGCCCAGGGGGCCGCCATAGCGCTTCAGCTCCACTGTGTAGATGATGGAACCTGACGTCTCCTGTTCATCTGCAGGAAGGTGGGAAGGGGGGGGGTAATTAAGCCAGTGTGGTTATCTCAGTGATCCACATGATTATGATTTTTTTAAATCAGTCACAACCTCAACCTTGTCTTCGTCTGACAAGCAAAAGCCTGTAATTATCTTCAGAGACTTAGATTTACATAGCGCCTTTGGCAAATCTTTGTTTAGTAGCCTGTAATTTATTATTTATATGTTGTTTATTATCTATTATGGTGGTCAGCCACAAGTATTTGCACAGCGTTTCCAGACGTAATCGATGAATAAAGTTTTTAGGATCTTACATTGCTACTGTTAGCACTTAGCACTATTATTTATTATTAAGGCTATTATAACTTAAATAGGCTAATGTAGCACGTTTTCTAGCTATGTTAATGTTTCACTCTCAAATGTTCTACATAAAGAAGCATGTAAATTTATCACTGTGAATCCAATTTTTGTTCCAGTTTTTGGTTTCATCTGTTAATGTACACTCATTTTATACACATGTAATTTAATAAAACTGAATTGGTTAATTTTTGACCAGATTCCACATGAAGAGCACATTTCGCTGAAGTTAAACTAAAATTCTGGAGCCCTAATTTTTTCATGGGTGTCAACAATGTACATTATTGTTCAATTTATGTGAAATTATATGGACTTCTCAGCACTGATTTCATGAAATCCAACTGCCTTTCTGTTTCTGTCCTAATAACTTAAACTCCTTAAATCCTTGTTTACCAGTTTTGGAATCAGAATTATATCAAAATATCTTCTCATTCTTTTCTATCAAAGATAAAAGTCACAATAAAGCATTTAAAGCACAATGAACTGTTCTATACAATCAGGCTATAGACTAAACATCACAGTTACACAAGACTGTCAAATTCAGTAAAAATCTACTTACATTTAAGATCTTCTGAAAATCTAAATTCTAGTAGAAAATCAATTTGTTGTAAAGTAAACTTGCTTGTAACTTTGTAGTAAAGCATACTAATACAATTTACAGTGTTTAAGACCTTAGTCGACTAACGATTGAATTATCAGTTGCTGATAGTTTCCATCTACTGTAATTCTCAGTCATGGTGGACGATGTTAAATGTCCGAAAACACACCATCCATGACTTTAAGATGCACAAAAGTTATATTGGTCTCGTAGCTGTTTTTTTTCATGCAACATTACTTATCTTTAGACAACTCTGTAGCAGTGCAAGGTAGATTTTTCTTCCCACTCATTCTCGTGCTTGTTAAACTGATAAAGCCGTGCTGCAGCCCTCCACACATCGAAAGTCTTTCCTCATGAAACATAAACAGGACCTTGAACAGAGTCTTTTTACGCTGTGCTTACACCAGTTATTTAAAACAAAAAAGACGACACATAGCTACACATCACATAATCCACATCACATAATCTACCATGTTAAAATGGGTTATTGGAGAAAGGTGCCACAGATATTGATAGAGAGGATCCGCTGTCTGTCAGCATAAGGAGCCCCTCTAGTCTGTATTTACGGCACAATGCAACAGGGTGCTGCTGGTACAGGAAAGCACCTCGAGAGAATGTGTAACATACGTAACATTAAATGTGTAAATGGATTTTACAAACATTGGATTGGAAATTATTTACATTTCCATCTAATTACAGTACAGATGCTCAGCCCCTTTACACAAGCTGCTGGAGCAAACTGAAACAAAGTTTTTATTATTTTATTATATTATCAAATCGATATTCCTTTTAGCAACAATCTAGGTCAGGGGTCGGCAACCTAAATTTTAAGAAGAGCCATTTCGTCTTTTCAACAATAATCAATCCGCTTCGGGAGCCACAATATTTTATGTCCATTTAACTGAAGTAATGTTTTACCATCTTGGCTGTAAATATGTCTCAGTATGGGCTAATGTACTAGTATAGATTAAAAAAAGGACCAACAGACTTACTTTGCTCTGCTCTAAACTTTAGCTCAGCTATAGCTGCTTTTCTCAAATCTCCGGCAGGAAAGTTTTCCGCAAAAATAGAATAGTTTCTTCTAAAATTTCTCTCAACGTTTTTAAAGTTTTTATGAGGCTGAAGTCGCTTCTCTTTCGCCAGCTTCATGTTTGAATTTTCCCCGTTCCACCTTAAATCGTGCCTGAGCCACAAGAATTTAACAGCTGCGCAATTTAAAATTCGATCAGGAAGTTGGTGAATAAGAAGCTGATTTCAGCTTTGCGACTTTTTAGTGTTTGACAGTTTCTCACTGCAGATTAAACGTATCAGGAAACCAGCTGGAATGGTTATAAATGCAAATCAGTCCATCCAATTATTGATATGCGTCTTAAATCTTACTTCTTTGTCATTTCGTTAGCTACTAGCTAGGCAAAATTGCTGCCTGCGCGCCAGTCTTCAGGGTTAAAGGGTGAATTGGCAGCGTTCAAAACCATTTATCAGGACTTAACTCCTGGGTTTAAAGACCATTGGAGTTTGGAACTTTGCGTTAGAAATGTTGCCGACCCCTGATCTAGATAATGAATGAAATGTAGACTAGTTCACACTCTGTCTTTACTATCTGCAAATACTTCACCTCTTACTCAAAACAGAACTATAACGTAATGGCCCCCAACCAGCTGTCCCACCACAGGGTCATCAGGTTAAAGGAGTGACACAAAAGGTCAAGGCAGTTCAAATTTAACTCCTACTCCAAAACCACCAGACCACCTTCCTCTCACGTACACCAGTCATCATTTAGGTCATATTTTCATTAACACAGTGAACAGATGTTTTCTTCACTCCAGCTGCCCTTTACGTCATCTTTCACAATGAACAGATCAATAGAAACCTGATCCAAAGTAATACTTTTATAATAGTTTTGATACTTCAATCAGAACTAAAACTTCAGTATGCAAAGTTACTCAAAGAGTTTTATGTATAATGTAAACCACTGGGACCACAGCCCTGCACATGATTTCAATAAGCAAGGTTCAAATCATCTAGAATTCAAAAGCTGAGGACTTTAAACAGCATAAAAACACTGGAAAAATCTGCTCCTGGTTCATCCCTGTGTCTGCAAATAATAAATATTAAGAGAACATTTCAATAATGTGAATTTATTCAGCATTAAATTCTCTTTGTATTTGGACAAGGCTTCCAAACCGGTCACCCAGGAGACAAGACTTCAGAATGAACGCTAGCAAAAGGCATTTTAAAACAGAGTGATGAAACTCGCCGTTTTGACTGAAGAAAAAAACAGGGGGTATTTAAAACAGTAAAATATATAACAAAGTAATATAAATATAAAATAATATGTATTTTGAGAAAAAATACATATATGGGTCTATAATAATACAGCTTATGCTATGACTTGGATGCTTCACATAGCAGTTAGAGATGACATTTATTTCATTTCCAGTGAAAAGAGCCATTATAAGTATTCATTTCTAAGAATCAGGAAAAAAAGCATCAAATATATTTAACAAAAATTACACAGAAGACTCAAAAACGAAAATATAATTTTATAATATAATTTTTTTATTTCAGCTTCAGATTGTTTTAAGAGACTCCGCAGGGAAATCTGCTGGGATATTTTTCCACACCTCCAAATTTCAGTCTTAGAAGTTGGTTGCATTTTCTGCTTCTCACAGTCGAAATAATCCACATTCAGTGATGTTGAAGTCTGGACTCATCCACTCTGTTCAGGAGACTCACTTTCAGTTCAAAGAAATCTGCAGACATACCTCCAAAGTTCAGTCTTTGAAGTTGGCTGATCATTTTCTGAAGTAATCCAAACACATTTAGTGATGTTGAGGTCTGGACTCTGGGGTGGTCAGTCCATTGTTCATCTTCTTTGTTTGGTGTGTCCGTCTCCTTTTCTCAGTGAGGCTTCTTGACAGCTACACATCCTTTCAGACCCACAGCAGTGAGTTGTCTTCTCACAGTGGAAAGATGGACAGAAACACCTGTGGATGTTTTCAGATCTGAAACAGCTTGATTTTCTCCTCTCTCTCAAAGATGAAAGTGCTGTTTATCTGATGGGGTGGTTTTGGTCTCTACCAGGTCTTCCAGGTGGTTGTTAGGAGTCTAATTTTCTCTGTAGCTTTTAATAATTTTTCATTCTAGTTTTGGATATATATCTAATTTCCTAATCTATCTAATCCAAAAAAATTAGTAACTTGTACTTGGTGGCTGTTCCAACCGGAAAATAATGTGAAGGATGGTCTCCGATTTTTGCCCAGTACTGCATATATGATGCATCCAAGACACAGAAGCACCATGCATTCTCAACTTTTAAGTCAAAATTCTCAATTCTTAAATCTAAATGTCAAATGCAACACTCAGTGGAGTGCTGGAGAAACAAAGAACAATTAATCTCCATTGAGTGAGTCTATGTCAGCCCCTGGTGGCAGAGTCCAATATTGCATGTATGTCACAGCCTCAATATGGCCAACACATGTTGGCTTTGATTGATGCTTTTTAATATCCTGCAGTGTACAGCTGATTCAAAGCAGAGATATCTGCGCACGTGGCTGTGAGCTCCCAGCATCCAGTTTCAGACGGAGCCACATTTCCAAAAAAAACAACAACATGCAGATAAACAACATGAAAAAACCTGTCAGAACGTGACAGTACAAAAAAAAGGCAGGAGAGTGGTAAGAGAGAAAGGCTGACAGCCGTATTCTGAAAATGATGTTTTCCCTTGTATACTGACGTATAATCAGCGAAGGATGGCAGTGAAGGTACAAACAAGAAACCCCTGCACACCAGCTGCACTGTTTTTATGTTTGATTTCAAGCATTAGGCCGACTGACGACAATCCTACTTTAGCAACCTGTGATGCAACGTCTTGCAAGGCTGAAGTAATGAGCTTGTTTTGTTACGACATGTTTTAGAACAACATCTTTCATATCCAGCCTTGATTTCCAGGTGATTCTAGATTCACTGCACATTTGCTGGAGGTGTAATGGTTGTATTTCTTTCAATAAAACCAATATAACTATGTGATTGTGATGGCGCTTGGCGATACTACGGTGGCTGACAAGACCCTATTCACAGTACAATTAAAAACACTTTGCAAACTCATTAACGCACTGCAAACGCAGAAAACACTTTCATCAACATGACTACATCAGAGCTACATTTCACAGACGCACTGCAAATAAAGAAAACGCAGACACAGAAACGCTGCAAAGCCAGTCACAACACAATAGAAGTGAGCCACAACACAACGGAAATGAGCCACAACACAACGGAAATGAGCCACAACACAACGGAAATGTTTCTGATAGACTCAAAAGGCTCAAATGGAATATCTATGATGGACTGACAGAAGTAGTGAAGACCACAGACACTCGGACACGCACATCCCAAGTTCACGGTTAACCTGGCTGGCTAATTTGCTATCTGAGATGTCACAGCAGTACTGTGGTAGTTCTCTGGTATTAAACATTTACAGTTACACTCTACAGCTAATTCCCATTACAATACAGTGATAGTCGTAATCTGCTGAAATAAAAGTTAACTTACTTTTACTGGTGAATGCTTGTGCTATTCTTATACTAATCTAATTTAACAGCCTGACTGGCTCTGTCCTCTTTGAGTGTCCTACAGAAACACGTCCACTGTGACTGGGTTATCAGCGTTTCTGAAGTGTTTTCTGCATTTGCAGCTCATTTTTTATTTGCAGTTTGTTGGGTTCGTCTTGGTCACCGCAAGATACTCTTTATTTTTTTGAGCAAGCATCCTTGACCTTTTTCTCCGCCTTCACATGGACTTTTCAGAGCCGACTATGTACTTACTTAAATGCGAAAAAATCAAACTTTCCACTTACAGCGAAAGCTGTATATGTCGATCAAGACATATTTGGTGTCAAGGCTGAAGTTGGAGTCGGATGTGGAGCTACAGGGCTAAAGTTGCTAAAACATGAGAAATCAATAGTCAACCTGATCTTTTCTGTAAATACATCCCCAGAACATCTCTCAACATGTTCAAACCACATTTAGAGCTTCATTAATATTAATGATCTGGCGATGTGGTTTAGGACTCAGTACGACTGAACGTGAACGATAAAAATGAACAATGTTACCATGTAGCTGCATGATGGGGATCACTGGAACCACTTTCCTTCCCTATCACAGTTTGATATTATTCTGTGCTAAACAGAGTTTGAAGATGAAATTACACCAGAAAGCTAGAACTAATGCAGATGATGATAATAAGACAGATCATCATCCCTGCTATTTTACTAATATGATTATTTAAAGAGACACCACCCTTCATGTATTTCATTTTTTTGTTAAAAAATGGCCATTATGTATAAGCTTATTTTACAGAGTCTGGAAAAAAGTAGAACATGTATATTCAGAAAATTACACAGAGTGTGTGTCTCTTTTGTTTTCTAAATGAAGGCTTTTCTTTTAATTATTTTTGAAGGCCAGTTTTGGAAATGTCTGTTTTATGTGAGTGGATTATTCAATAATTTATCTCCTCAGAAATATCTCTTGAAAATTAACAACTTGTACTTAATGACTCACTGGAAATTCTAAAAATTAAGAGTGGTCTCTGACTTTTGCATAGAATTATAGAGAAGATTTTGGGCAACTATTGACTTCATGTGCAAAACCAGGAAGGCGAGCATGTCTTGGCTGACTGACTAAACAGCGGTTAAGTGGAAAAGAAGACGTTTCATCAAAACAATCCTTTAACTTACAGAAATCATAGTTATCATCCATGAAAAGCAACAGCATGCTGTATTTTATATGAATCATTTGCCTCTCACAGCTCACTGAAATAAACGAAAAGATTCAATCGCAAGTGAAGATTCTGAACTTTCAATCGATATCATGTTTGAGTTTAAAATCAGAAGAGGATATATTTCACTGTAAATTAAATTTGATGGAAAGTTTTTTTTTTATGTGCCTGCCTTGTTTTTTGTGAAGAAAAAAACATCTGTTATATGTATTTTGCCATGATTTCCTACTTTTTGACAAAGAAACAAACAGAATCTAACAAACAAATCAAATCTAAATGTAATTGATCATGTCACTAACGATCTAATTTAAATAATTACATAAGGTAAAAGGACAGTTATAACTCGATTTGTAGGGATTAATCTTTAGAACAGTAAAGTAATAGTGAATGTAGACTTGACCAAAAACACTCACACAGACCCACACACACTTCCTCACCGGAGTTGTCTTCATCTTTGCGGATCTTGAGCTTGACTAGGTCTTCGCTCTGTTGAAGGATCTGCATAGCGTCTTCCATGGAGCAGTTCTCCAGGCGAATGTTATCTATAGCTAGCAGCTTGTCCCCGGGCTCGAGGGTCCCTGTTCTAAAGGAGGAGAAGAGGAAACAGCAAATAAAAGCACTTTTCTTTAGCAAAATGGGCAACAGCACAGTGACAGCTTTCTTGGGTTTCATATTCATAATCTAGTAAGTGGTTTCAACCAGACACCCCCCACCCCCTCAACTGTCCCAACTGCTCCCTGCCCCAACAAAACTGATCTGGCTCATCAGCTAATAATCAATCATAATGTTACTCTTATTACTATTATTATTATTATTATTATAAGACACTATCAAGTGTATTGGGGTAGAGAATAGCTGAAACTCTGCAGGGCAGTGGGTCCCTAGGACTACAGTTGAAAACCACCGCTCCAGCACACTGCAACATTAAAGGGGAATTCCACCAATTTTTTAAATTTTCTGCATAATTAAAAGGCTAAGATGTAACCAAGGTCATTCAGAGTAGTTTAGTGTGAAATGCTCCTTTATATCCTTTAATGCTCCTGTTCGAGCTGGATTAGTTATACCAGAGGAGGTCCAATAATGTAATTTGTAAGGGATCTACTGGCCAATTCGTATGGGATAAAGGATCCATGTAATTTCCCCAAATAACCTCAGATAGCCCTGAACGAAACACCATGGCCCGGATGTTCGCTTCAGCATTAACGTCACAATTAAATAGTTTTAAACAAAAAAGCATAAGAAGCTAACTCCCAGTTAACCCTTGTGTTCTGTTGACACTAACTTTACTGCCTTGTTGTTTGTTGTGTGGTAAATAAAATATTATATCATTCTATACCAAGGAAATTTTAACCCAGTACACTGAAAAATGTCATTTTTAGCCTTTTTTAAACAACAAACTAGGATTTCAGGACGGTGAATAAATACAAAATTACCATAACGATTTATTATTAGGGCAAACAGGGGTATATCTAATATTTTCTCACACTTGAGCATATATTTAGATGTCTTTTCATTAGTAAAAATCATTTATAGATTAGGAAAACTTTATACAGTCCATCTAGGATGACCATCATGCCCTGGATCTTTTCTGGAGCTCTGAGTCTGATGAATTATAACGTCATTCATTCCAGACATATGACTTGGCAAACTTGTAAAAACTATAGACATTGCAGATTCATTCTTAAAATCATGGATCTCACTGGTAATCACTTGCTTTGCAGCACCGCCCCAGCTAAAACTAATCCAGCTCCAAAATGGCGGTCACCAATCTTGTCCACAAAGGGCTGGTGTGGCAGCAGGTTTTCATTCCAGTCACACAGAAGCTCATTTGATTCTACTTGTTTAATGTTTTTCTTAGGCCTAACCCCATTTCTTTTTTTTTACCCCTACTCCTTGTTTTTGAGTGTCACCTTGTCTCTTCGTACTGAGTTACAAGGGGTAGTGGTTGAAATCTTCCCCTATGAAATGGGACCCTCAAATAAAGAACATTACTTCATTAACAGGCTACTAGCTGTGCAAAAAGGATGGGTAAGGGCTAAGTGGTAGGGACGAAGGGTGAAATGGGACTGAGCCTTAGTCTTCAAACAGCTCGTTTGGTTGTTGGGGGGGGGGGTTTGGAGCAAATGTAACCCTGGGTAAACAGGGTATGCCTACAATTATATTTATCATACTAATATGCCTTATACATAAACATTAAGGCACAAAAACAAAAAGTAAGTTTGATTTTGTTGCCTTTTACTATGCCATTTTTTCCTTTCCTTTGTCTCACTATAATCTTAGTCTGATCTGCATACAGTTATAAATATTTTAGCAAAATACCCTCGAGTAATGAAGTTTTAAAAAAGAATCCACGACAGGATATGCACTATTTTGTCAACAACCGTCCCACAACCACCACAATTATCTTGCGCAATTTCAAAAAAGTGACTGGGCCATGACCCCTCCGTCCCCCCAGTAACCCCCAGGTTATATGAGGCTCCTGCTTGGTTAGAATGAAAGCCACACAAGCCCTTTAGGCATAAGTCTGCTGACCCCTGCTCTATTCTATTTTGGAAAATATCCTTCCATTTGCAACGACTATAGAATACTTTAATTTCTGATGCCCAGTTCACTGTCCGAGAGGAACGTTCCAGACGAATGGCACCTGTTCTAAACTACAGAGAGTGGGAAAAAGATTTTTGAGGACACGTTGCCCTGCTTGCTTAGAACTACACATTAAACAAGCACCCTTTATTTGTTAATGGCACTGTTTCAGTGTCTGTAATGCTGGCCGTACCTGTGAGCCATGCTTCCTTTCTTTATGTCTGATATGATCAGAGGCTCGCCCGGCTTTTTACTGGCTGTTGGAGAAGACAATGCATCATCAGCAGCAGTGTCAAATACTCATCCACCCACACGCACACACACCAGAGACAGCACGATGATAAAACCCGAACCCTAAATCGGTTAACTGGAACTGCTGGAACAGACGTTTCTTCTATTCAGCAAGAACGCGATATAATGGCACACTGGAAAGTGATGAGCAAGTTAAAAAGGTTTACAGCAGTAAACAGTCAAAGGTTTGGGTCTACCTGCTCAGGAAGGGTTTACTGTAGGACAGCGTTCATAAGGCTATGTGGCACCTACGTAAGCTTGTCATGACTCACTTAAAACCTACACAACATAGATGCTAAGTCAACTTGACATTAAAGTTGGCAAGTGCAACGTTTACAACAAACAATGCCTATTGGAATAAGTCTTCATTAATGTTTATGGAGGTCTATATAGGTGTCATGGAGCCTTATGAACACTGCCCCTACAGTAAAAGTGTTACAGCAGTTTTCTTCATTTGTCCTATTTCAGTAGTAATGACAGTAATGATATGAAAACTACAAAATAATATGTGCAGAATTAAGGGAAGCAGGCATAAAGAGAAATCACGCAAATTAATGCGACACCTCTGACTTTTAGATCATAATACAGGCTTTACAGGGCGACTTGCAGCAGTGCACGTTCACCATATTGTAGTGTGTTTTTATTTCTCCTCACTCTGTAATGCTACTTCTTTAAACTTTATCAAAAGATATTATCCATCCATTAACCCTTACAGATACTCAAATTCAAAATCAGTCGGAATGCACATGCCTTTGCTTTAGAAACACATTTCAGGCATTTAAGCTTTGAATGAAAATGTCTTTATGATTATGACATGAATATTTTAAGAACACTTCATATGTGAAAAGTGATCAAAATTTTGAGGAATTTTTGAACTAGATAACTAGTGTTTTTATCACTTAATAACTTAATAATAGCTTAATAATAGCAAATATGTCTACAGTGGGATAGAATATAGTGTTTACCTTCACTTGTATTAGGAATGTGTTTATTTATGGTCGTACAGACATGTAAGTAGCTTATTGTATGGGTCATTCTTCTGAATTAGTTCAAACTGTGGTCCCACGGTAAAACGACAAATAAATAAATAACCAATTAAGCATTTAGACCTTAGATATTTAAAAGGGTTGTGTTACAGTGACTGAAAAACAGCAAGTAAAAAGACAAAACTTGTTGAAATGAACTGGAGTGCAGCTGAAACTAGAAGCCTTGTGCGAGAAGAGATGTGCTTTGATTGTGCTGTGTACACAAAAACAAGAGCACCCCCCAATGGCCGTGCATGAAAAAGACCACCAGACGAAATGTCAGCTGCTCAGCGACTGTTAGGAGCTCAGTGATTATGGAAAAGCTGCATGATGGATGTGAGCAGGGAGAACAGCGGAGACTTCTTCAGGCTCCTTCAGGCTCGACAGGGAGAGAAAGGATTAAAAGTAGGCAAGGCTCTTAAAGCTCAATCCTACAAAATAATCTGAAAGTAATAAATATTAAGCGAATATTTCATTAATGTGAACGTATTCAGCATTTAAATTCTCTTTGTATTTGGACGAGACTTAGAAACGCTTCACCCAGGAGACAAGACTACAGAATGAACCCCAGCAAAAAGCATTTTAAAATTTAAAACAGAATGATGAAACTCAGATACTGAGTCATCTGCTGTTTCAACTGAAGGGAGAAAATGGGTCTCTGGCTCAAAAAACAAGAAAAGGAAAAATATATATTTACTTTTCCCACCTAAAAAAACGTATAACATCAACAAAAGAGGGAATAAAATCACCAATCTCGAAAAAACAGACAGCATTAACATAATCCGTCTAAACGTTGGCCATCACTCTCTTGAACAGTTAAAATACTACACAAAAACAATATTCCAGCTTCAAACTGCACTTCATAAATACTGGTATATAGTATCTAATTCAGCTCCATCCTCTGGGAACTGCTGCCTCAAACCAGTGTTTTTTTTAGAATCTTACTTACCTGCCTTATTACCCCACTTATCGGACCTCACTGATCCCTTTCTCTGCCACTATACACCCTCTAACTGCTGCTGCACTCAACACCTTAACTTTAGACCCATACTTTGCACAATGTAAGGTTTACAAGTATGACTCTGTGTGTGTGTGTGTGTGTGTGTGTGTGTTTGAGTGAGTGATGGTAGGAATGCATGTTTTATTTTATTTCATTTTGTTATATTTTATATTTTATATTTATTTTATTCACTACATGTAAATGTCTGTCCGGTACTGTGCACTGTGAGCTCCTGTAACCAAAACCAAATACCTTGTATGCGTAAGCATACCTGGCCAATAAAGCTTGATTCTGATTCTGATTCTAAATGTTTGAAACTTTTCATCAAAACCTTGTACGCTAACTTCACAGGAGAAGTATCTTTTGTATACATAGTGCAGAACTAAAGAAATCACTAAATAATTATAAATTAAAAATGCACATGTCAGACATAAACATTTAGACAGAAAACTACCTCCAATTACTTGTATAAGGAATGAGTTTATTCATAGTCTTATAGCAGAGGTGTGGACTCGAGTCATATGACTTGGACTCCAGAAAATTGAGAAAGACTTGGGACTCGACTTTGACTTCAACACCAGTGACTTGGACCCTGACTTGGACTTGAGCATCAGAACTCAGAAAGACTCAAATCCCAAAGTGGACGAATCGTGGAGAGTCTGACTGCAGACGGGACTCTACACATTTGATTATTTTTCTTGTGAATGGAGTCATTTTCTGACGTAAACTGAACAAACAGCATCGTCAGATGTCTGTCACTGTGCTTATGTTCGGTTTATTTCATTTTGGATGACAAGAGAAGCGTTTAGAGCTCAAGTTCACCTCTATAAGCTGGAAACATGCGAAGCATCAACAGCATCAATGCGCCCAGCTCAGTGCTTAAACTCCAGTCTTACTGGAGAAACTCACCAGCTGAACTGACCGTTTTACTCACGTTAGCAAAACAAAAGAAACACAGCTCTCTCTGTTTTTAACAGCTTCTGCAGGTAAAACAAGCGAAACATTTACCACAAGGCTGAAGTTGACTTGTTATTCACCAGCTTCGTATTGGAATTTGCCATTCCACCTTAAATGGAATGGCAAATTCCATTCCGATCATTTTGCATGAATGGAAAATTCAAATAAGAAGCTGGCGAAAAAAAGTCAACTTCAGCTTCGTACATTCACCATCATTTTGCTGTCTTTTCTGTGAACTGTTCAGGTTGATCATTTTGGTTTCCGCTGTCCTCTAAATTCAATTTAAACTAGTGGTTGTTTTTATCTGGCTGACCTAGTTTTTATTTTAATCTTATGCGCCCAATTTTCCTAAATTATCATAAAATATATATAATTATATATATATATTTTATTAAGTTTAGAAGTGCTTTTAAAATTCTTTTCATGTCTAGTTGCACTAGTCTTTGTGTATACAGCATGTCTGTCATGGTTATCTGTGTATCATGGATTTTGTATTTTAGTTGGAGGGGTAAATAATAAATTAACATACAGTCATACATTGCTAACTTGCTGTCATTAAAAGGCTACAGTAATGTTACCATTATTCAGTGTTATGGACTTAAATTAGTTGAAGAAGGCAGACTGACTTGTTTAAGACTCGAAGATTAGGACTACTGACTCAGGACTTGAATCGAGACTCGACTGTCTTGACTTGGGACTTGACTCGGGACTTAAGTGTGAAGACTTGAGACTTACTTGTTACTTGCAACTTACTGACTTGTTCCCACCTCTGTCTTATAGACACGGAAGTAAGCTTATATACAGTACTGCACAAAGGCCCCTGAGAAAAATGCATGTAAAAACCTATTTAATTGTGCAGTTAACTCTTATCTGTTTAGAAAAACATTCATTTAAGAATAAATATAAACATGTTAATCAGTTCTTCATTATGTCAAATTAGGAGTGCTGGTGCTGAGCAAATCCATGCAATGGTTGGGGGTGTTGATGGGGGGGGGGCAAATCTGTCCTCCTTAAATCAGCTCATCAAATATCTACTAAGGACTTTGTTGCAAAATGCTTTATAGACCATTTTCACAATTTTCATTTTTTTATGATATACATTGTTGTGAGAGGCATTTACACATATGATAAATATCAATGTGGTATTATGACTAATACCACCTTAATTAGATAAATACTGTTTTCTATAAACATCAGCTATTTTTCATTAAATTACTGTAACCAAAATTCTAACAAACAGATAAAGGCATTTAGGAACAAAACTCTTCAAATACTTTTTGAAACAAGAAATGTTTGTTAATGTTTACTGCATTAATGCATTTATTCTAATGATATATGGTGTTTTTACAAGCAAATACACATCAACTGTCTGAATAAATGGTAATAAACAGTTTGCTTAGGTTAGCCTTTTGCACAGCATTGTATGTACATCTACTCCTGTCAAATATAAGGGCATACTTACATATTTATATACATATTTATATACATAAACATCCCAATATTTGACCATATATCCGATAGGGGATCCCCATATATCCCCTATATTTAGCCACATATCAAATGCTTGTATTGCAAGCAGCACAACTCTACAAATGAGATTTATTGGAAAACTCGGATCAGATGAATGAAAGACATCTGATGCTACTTTGACATAAAAATGACAAACATGACAGCTGTCAGAATGTCTGATGTTATAACAGCTCACTAGAGTACAATTAGCAACAAATAGATTGTGTGGCCTGTATGATAACACAACACTGTTATATTACTGAAATAAATGTGTCATGTCACCTGAGTTCTTGCAATGAAATATATACAGTATTTCGCCGCTGTCGGAAGAAAACCTCATATCTCCAAAATGGTAACATTACAGGAGAAGGAAAAAACATACTTTACTTTAAATGTAAGTCAATGGAACCAGACTTTTTTTCCAAGTCATTTGGGGTCATTTCTTTGGGTCAATTCTTCATGAAATTTAGATACAATGTAAAGGAAACAGGCATTTTCAAATTAGCAGTCAAAAACTAGAAAAACAACAAAAATAGAGATACAAGGTTTTGTTCAGACAGCAGTGATATGTGACATATATTGTAAAAATCATATAAGCATGGTATGACGCCCTGTATTTAAAATAAAGGGGTCACTAAAACGTAAATCAAGCACAGTTTGGCTTTGAAATGTAAAAGGCTGCACAAAATAAAACACTTATAATAATAAAATACCTATAAAAAAATTATAATCTAAAAAAACATGGAATAGTTAATATGTAGTTTTCCATACTTACTTTACTTTACTGCTTATAACCAACACACACATACTACAAGTCTATAGCGCTTAGCTCAGTGGCCTCCTTTTAGAAGGAAAAAAGACGCTGCATAAAAGGGGAGAAGCAGCCATACAGAGGAGCCAGCAAGCTCAAGTAAACAAGCCCTGAGAGAGTCTGGCTCTGCATAAACAGATCCACTGCAGAGCACACTCATTTTCCCAGGGTAATATAATTCCATGACACGGGCACTGACTGCAGTCAGAGGGTACCCAGAACTTTTTAAAATGCACATCTCGTGAGAAAACTCATGCTGGCATGTTTAAATGGGGAGTAGCTAAATATTGTCTCTATTAAAGCACTACTGTGTGAGATCATTTTGTGTTTGTTATCGGAAATCTGAACAAATGTTGAATATGTTGCTGAGTCTTAAGTAAAGCAAAGAACGTAACGCAGAAATAAACAAGACAAAGAAAGTGAAAAAAAAACATATATTTAGAAAGTGATTAGTACATTAATGCAGTGCAAAGTACAGTTCCTTCCAGAATCATTAGCACCCTTGGTAAGAATATGCTATTAAATAGTGTTGTTGTTGATCAGCCTGATCTTTGTACACTGTATGTCCTTTATAATCTTTTTGGAAAATGGATGCTAAATGGCGCTGTGTCCCAATTCAGGGGCTGCGTCCTTCGGAGGCTGCATTTGAAGGCTGACTGCGTCACAGCGGCATGACTAGGCTGTCCCATTTTGAAGGCTCATTCATATGCGGCCGAGAAATGTGTCCTTCTTCTCCATGGCAACGAAGGATCCACCCGTTGCCAGCCAAAATATCCTGAGGTTCATGCGTGCCGATGAGGATTTGAGAACATGGCAGCGTCAGCAGAGGAGTGAACGGCGTCAGAGGAGTACACTTACATATAAGTATTGGGTTTAAACTGAGTCGAATAACTAAAAAAAAGCCATTCTAATCAGTCTAAGATACATCATGTGCCGGTGTAGGCGTTGGTGGTGAAGCATCTCCAGCTCTAATAAATGAAAAAATAAAAAACTAAAATCAAGGTTTTTGGTTCCATCTTGAAAGAACTTTCTAACAACTTAACAGGAGCGGCGTTTCGTGATGTAACGGTAAGGACGGGAACAGCGGTGCTGTGACGCAAAGGGAAATCCGCCGTAGAGCAGACGGTCTCATTTCAGTTCAGCCTTCGCAGGTCTAAGCAGCCTTCGAAGGATGCAGCCCCTGAACTGGGACACACGCTGGATCACAGACTTCTACAACAATAAAAAACGGGCAAACTTGTATAGCATCAAAATAAATAATTTGTCATTTGTTCGCTTGTGAAGTATGAAAGTTGAATTAAACCTAATCCTGAATTGCTTCATTTAGTACACTCTCAATGTCCCAGGTCACTTTATGACCAAAGCTCGAAACTTTGGTTTTAAACATATCTATCACTTATAATATGATTATAATAGTAAAGCAAGTCTAAATATCATATAGTAACTTAGGGTTTTTGATAAATTAGCTTCTCTCTAATCTGTCAGATGTTCTTACCAATGTAGAGCCTTCATCTTACATTTTGCTCTGAGTTTCTAAACTGTTTAGTCCAATGAAAGAAACAGAAAGGCTACTGCAGCTGCTTCAAGGCTGCCGCACTCCTGACAAGAAACTTCATACATTTATACAAGTAGAGATTTATTGGGATTAAACTTCCAACATAATGTACTAAATTTTTCATTTAGCATCAGTTTAGCTCTTCAAACTCACAGCTTTCAAGCTAAAAGTTATGAGGTAAATAACTTGCGTGACTATTCCAGCAACTTTAGCTGAGGTAAAAACTGATGCTTAGCATTTGTGTGTTAATCTTAAAGATTTTATACTTTCCGCCTTTCTCTATGTAAATGTCAAGCCTGGTTCTGGGTTTTTAACTAATGTAATATTAGAAAAATGCAGTGTGACACTGAGAGACATTAAACGGCGTTGAAGGTCACTGATTGGTCTGTCGAACTTAAACGGACACTGCATGTCATCCAGCAAACAATAGCCTTACTAGTGTTGCGTGGAACCTCCTAAATGAAAAGTAAGTACAATACTAATAGACCCTTTTCACACTTTCGTATTTAGTATAGCAGAAGTCGTCATATTGGGGAAAGGATTACAGTAATGGCAACGTTTACCAATGAGAATGTAGACAGAGTCCTCCTTTACAAAGTCTCTTGCTTATATAAGGCCTTTACCTAATTTTTGCACAAAAAAGACGATGTTTAATCGTTTAGTGGTTCAATTTTCATTTTCAGAGAGGAGCAAGTCTGAAAGAAAGTGTCAAAATATACTGATCAACATAATCACAGCACAGAATTCTGCAGCTAGTCTATACAGGTCACTGGTTAATATAGCTAACAATGCTGGAGCTGGTAATCGGGAGAGTCGGGAGAATCGGGAGAGTCTAGTTTATCCAGTTTTCATTTTATTATTAAATGGCCACCTGGTTTATCTAAGTGTAGATTGTTATTTAAGGTGGAAAAGTCAAGAGGATGCCTGTATACTCTTTATTTTTTGTTGTATAATACTGGGTTCTTCTTGAATTCAACAACGAGATGTTTGGCATCCCCCAAAAATCAACGGTCACACTTCATTTTGATGGTTCCCTATAGATGATCTACAGATATTAAAATCATTAACAAAATTTCTGGTGATGTACAGTCATTATCAACAACATTAAGGTTAGGGTAGCTTTAGGAGTAGGTGTAGGTTTTGCCTTAACGTTAGGGTTAGGAATAGATTTGATAGAATCTTCCACACTTGACTTCAAGTGCAGTTGCATTTAATAGACATTCAGTTGAATGTTGTACTGAGCATCTACAGTGGACCATCCAAATAAAGCGTTACCAAATCAATATCCGGTTTACTTCGCTGCTTCAGTCAATGACAAAATTAGTGGAAAACTGAACAGGTGATAAGCATTCCGCTTCACGCTGCGGTTTGAGTTACGCTGCCAGAGGTGGTGGCAGAATTTTCCGTCATGGCTCTATTGAAAACAATGGGATATCCGTCATCATTTTACCACAAACATGTAAACTGGAATTCAGGTTTGCTGCAGGCTGGTCTGCATCATTTAACTCCCAGGTCTAAAAACAAGTCCCACGGCCCCATTACCTAACATTAGCCTACTAAGGAAGCACCAGTTTTGATTAGTTCATAGGTGACATCTTCTCTCATTCATCGAGAGCTTTTTACCTTTATATATAGCTGTACCACTTGGCCATCCAGCACAGAAGCAGCAGTCGCAGTAGCCTGCTTTTAATGTAGACCTAATGTCCAATTGGCTCCTCTCTGAAAATGGACAGTCATGCTAACAACATCTTTAAGTCAATATCTTAACAAAGAGGTAAAAATCCCTCTACATTCTCATTCATAAATGTCACTACTGCTATGTTTTTCCTACTATGACGACTTCTGCAAATACAAAAGTGTGAAAACGCTCCATTACACACCCAATCTTTGACTGAAATGCCCATCCCTGATGTAACACTGTGCTGTCATGATTTATTCTTATTAATTGTAGCCTGTGGATAACGACATGCAAGGAAAAATTCCATTGTACTTTGACTTTATCAATGACAGATAAAGGAACTTGGATCTTACCACTGATCGTGATGCCAAGCTCGACTCCTCTCTTCTTAGGCAGCTTCACATGGAAAGTACCACTACTAGGCACTACTGACTCTGTTGAAAGGGTAGAAAGAGTTTGAGTACAAATTTTAACCTAATCTGTACGAAACGAGGCAGAACCAAACAGAAATATGGAACAGCATGTCAATTCCTCTCCACACTGCTTACATATTAGTTTTATAGTAGTTGACACAAAATCAGTTGTTGTTACTTATTAATAAGTGTTAGGATTAATACTTAAACAATAAGCCTGGAGTTTAAGATGTTTTGAGTATGTTTAAAATGCAATGCGGTCACAAACCTGCTACATCAAACTCAATCTCTAGTGTGACCTTATTGGTCAGTGCAGCATCTCGAAGCAGCTGATTGGCCTCCTCTAGCGTCCCGTCTTCTGTGGGAATACCATTGATGGACAAGAGCCTGTCCCCAACCTGCAGCAGCCCGCACCTGCCAATCACATCCAAGTCACATTATCTCATATCTCATGAGTGACACATTCAGTGACCTGGTGTTCATCCCCTTTAACTGGATAAAATCTGCCCCCACAGTAGTTGGTGTGCAAACATGTCCGCATTGGTCAGCATAAAATGGATCAGCATCTGGAACTGGATATATCAGTGTGTTGCTGTGTTTTCTATCACTATACAATACTGTGAAAAAGTCAGAAACCACCCTTTTTAATGATTTAATTTACACTCAAGACAGTAATTAAGTACAAGTTATTCATTTTTCAGCATCAGCAGAAAACATATTTAACAGAAAATTAGGCAGAAGATTCCACAATTCAGTTCATTATCATATTTTCCAGCATTTAGTGTGTCTGCTCTTCACCTTTATTACGGGTTCCACTCTTTTCAGGAGACTTGTTTTCAGTTTTTCAAAGAAATCTGCGGGGATATGTTTCACAGCTCCAAAGTTCAGTCTTAGACGTTGGTTGCACTTTCTGCTTCTCATGATCCAAGGACCCAATTACAAATTTAGATTCATCGGTCCAAAAAACATAAAATGGGGTTGTAATCATTTTAAGATATTATATATTGAGCTTCTCAAAATAACAAGAAGTCTTGTCAGAATAATAAGATAGTATCTCAAAATGACTTAGCATCTCACATTGATGAGATAATATCTCAAAACAGTGACTTAGCATCTCAAATTGATGAGATAATATATCTAAATAATGACTCAGCATCTCAAATTAAAGAAATAATCTCAAAATAATGATTTAGCATCTCAAATTAATGAGACAATATTTCAAAGCACTGACTTAGCATCTCAAATTGATGAGATAATATCTCAAAATAATGACTTAGCATCTCAAATTGGTGAGATTATATCTTACAATAATGACAGCATCTCAAATTAATGCGATATTTCAAAATAATGACTTAACATCTCACATTAATGAGATAATATCTCAAAATAATGACTTAGCATCTCAAATTGATGAGATAATATCTCAAAACAATGACTTAGCATCTCAAATTGATGAGATCTCCAAATAATGAGAGCATCTCAAATTGAGATCATATCTCAAAATAATGACTTAGCGTCTCAACTTAATGAGATATTTCAAAACAATGACTTAGCATCTCAAACTGATGAGATAATATCTCAAAATAATGACTTAATGTCTCAAATTAATGAGATAATATCTAGAAATAACGACTTAGAATTTCAAATGAATGAAATAATATCTCAAAATAATTCTAGTGCAAATGTTCTACTTTTTGTCAATTTCCTTTTCTCACTAAAGGCTTCTTGAATGCAGTCACTACAGAAATACTTATTGTGTTCATCAGGGCAACAACAGAAGCGTGAATATTTGCTCATATTTGTATGTTTGCTTGCTCAGAATGGTAATTTGTAATTTTCAGTTTTGTTAGTGTTCTTTACTTGTCCAAATAACATGTATGTAATGTAATGAAATGTAATAAGAGCAACGAGAAATTATAGTATAAAGAAGAGGAGTATAAGTGGCAGAATTAGCTTTAGCATTACAGGGTTAAAATGTGGTCAAGCATTACCAGCTATGTAGCTCTCGGCTTCTTAAAATAACCAAGAAACACATGGAATCTCGCAGAACATATGAGGTAAAGAACACGGATAAGAGTCCTCCAACCCTGTGTCAGCATGTTTTGTAGCAGAGGAAGAAGTAACCACTCTGGAGCACCTTGAACACCGAAAAAGACGACCAGAAACTTGCAGAACAGCAAGAAAAGTGCCACTCCAGTACCAGTGATCCATCTGCACCAACACCGAATCTGTGAAACTGCGAAAAGCACGGCTCCTTTAGCAGAATATTAATGGACTCGGCTAATGCTACTTTGCAGCACACGCTGCACTCTAAATTTAAATGGATATGAGAATATGCACACGTTTAACTGTAATGAAATGGAAATGAGGTTGAGGTTAGGGCTTCGCGAGTCCTGCATTCCAATCAGACCGAAAAAGACTAAATGAATCACGACATCAGAAAACACGGGCATAACACGTGTATAACACTGTTAACAGCAGTCACTGAATATTACTGTCGTCTGTCACCACCTTCAGCTGTGACTCATCACTCCAGTCAACGCAGACAGGCCTCGAGCCAAACACACCGCCATCTAAATCACACACTGTACACACCACGGCACAGCGTCAACTTCACACTGCGTGTATGTGTAAGGGGAAAAATGAACATGGCACTGTATTCATAGTATAGTATGGTAAATAATTAATGGTAATAATGGTAAATAATTGTAAATCAGTAATAAATTAGTAACACCAAGTGCAATTCATGTTTTATGTCTTGTTTTTTTAGGCGATTTTAAACATTTATTTTATTAAACATGTTTATTTTATCTTGGCCATGCTATTAAAATTTGGTCAGGTATGAGTACAACGCTTAATAAAATAAAATTATTTACTGTACATTCCTAAGTTCTCCTGTAAGTACAATTCAAACAAAAAGGCTAGTATACTGTTTGCATGTGGTGTATAATTTTGAAAATAATCAAATTTAATCAAATCAAATCCAAATCATGGCGATTTTAAAATTTCATGATGGGCTGGATCACTTTCTAAAGAGTTAGAACCAAATCACAGCTCAGAAATTTACACCCCTAACATAATTTATATATCGCTGTTGTCGGAAGAAAACTTTGTATCTCCTAAATGGTAACTTTACAAGAGAAGGTATATTCAAATTATGTCAAAAACTGAAAAATGTCCAAAAAAAACCCTACTTTTTTAAATGTTATTATTATAAAATGAACAAATATAATCATTTTTTTAAATTCTTCTCAATAACTAACATATCATTCTTTACACCTACATAATAACTAATAAATAAAGCTTTATAACTATATATAAATGCTCTGTTATAGAGAAACTTACTGAGTCTGAATAGTTCACAGTGGTGGAACCAGATAGGAACCACAAGAGTTTAATGTCTCTAAAAGCTCCCTCACAGAAAGTTATTAAATAAAATTGTTATGAATAATTTGCCTAAAACTTTAAAACATTTGAGGTTTTTGCGTTTGCGATAGTTTTGAGCTAAGATTTTGGAGTAAGTTGCATTTTTAAATGGATTCTGTGCAGAGAGATGCTTATCTTGCATTTAACTTCCATTCAACTAAATCCCTATAAAGTTCACCTTAACCTTCTTTAACCTTAAAACTAGCCCTAACCATAACCTTAACCTAAAACCTAAACCTAGCCCAAGCCCACGTCCTAATCCTAACAACTCAGTTTCACTAGATGCTTTGTTAATAAACTGAACGTACATAGATAATCTATTGGGGTCTGTCCAAATTAAAATGAGTTTCACCTACAGCCATTTGACTTTAAAGATTACAAATAAAACCTCAAATGGCTTGTGTAGGATCGCTGGTCATTTTGGAGAGTAAAAGCTGGCTATATTTGCGTTACACACTCTCAGAAATAAAGGTACTAAATTGTCACTGGGTTGGTAACATCAAGGGTACATCTCAGTACCTTTAGTCAGATAACCTAACTGCACCATAATCCATTGAAATGATGTTTTCTAAGTTGTACTGACTCCACACACCCCGTCTCGTCTCCAGGCTTTTTATTTTACTGTTCTGTTTAAAACATTAAGTTATAAAAAGGTATAAATACATATTTTTCACCTGGAAAAACTTATTTAAGGTTCACAGTTGGACCTTAAAACCACCGTTGTACCTTTGAGGGAACATTTACATTGTTTCTACCTTGATGAAAAAGAAACGTACCTGCACAGAACCTTTATTTCTAACAGTGTAGACTTCTATATCTATAGCAGCGATCACAACCCCTGCTTCCTATCACCTGCACTGTAAAAAATCTGAGTTGATAAGTTTCTCTACAGTGAACCATTTCACATCAAACCACACTGAATCTCTTTATCACTATTACTGAATTATGCAGAGACTTTTAGAAATGGGATATCAGCCTGAAGTCAACCTGGGCAGACGCTGTGCAGCGTTTGTGAAGACTCAGAACTAAAAGCTACACCTGTCACATTGATGTATGGAGTTAAAGTGGAGGTGATTTTTGAAGCTCTTTATCTAGTCGACAAAGAAGACAGTGAGCAGGCAAGTCAGTGAGATATCACAAAAACAACCTCCAACCAGAACATGTACACTCTTAAAAAACATGGTTCTACAAGGGTTCTTTAGTAAAGAAAATGGTTCCATTTAGAACCATGAACTCTCGAATAACCTTTTGTGTGATTAAAGTTCTTTGCATCATAAAAGTGTTGATTAGCTTGATGGGGAATGTGCTGTTGATGGTCCTATATATAGGGTTCTATTTAGTACCCAAAAAGGTTCTTCCATTGTGACAATGTCAAGCTTGATATCAAGTCTTTTGAGTGCTGTATAGAACCGTTTTAAAAAGGTTCCATAAATAACCATCTACAACACATTCTCCATCAATCTGAAGAACCCTTTTCACGATGAAAAAACCCTTTAATCAAACAAAGGGCTCTTTGAGTATTTATGGTTCTATATGGAACCATTTTCTTTACTAAAGAACCCTTGTAGAACCATCTTTTTTAAGAGTGTACATGTTCTGATTTGACGTTGGTTCATATTGATGGGGAATTTGCTGTAGATGGTTCTATACAGAACCTTTTTGAAAATGATTCTATATAGCACCAAAAAGGGTTCTTTCGTTGTGACAATGTCAAACTTGATATCAAGCCTTTTGAGTGCTGTATAGAACCCTTTTCAAAAAGAAGAACCTTCTACAGCACGTTCTCTATCAGGCTGAAGAACACTTTCATGAATCAAAGAACTTTAATCACACAATGGCTTCTTTGAGTGTTCAAGGTTCTATATGGAACCATTTTCTTTACTAAAGAACCCTTGAAGAACCAGCAATGTTAAAAAAAACACAAGTACACTCGAGATGAACCATGAGCTCCACACTGAACCATTTCATACTGAAATGGTTCTTTGCATGGCAGACTGTTGGAGAATGCGTTGTATATGGTTCTATATGGAACCTTTTTGAAAATGGTTCTATATAGCACCAAAAAGCATTCTTCTATTGTAACGATGTCAAGCTTACAACAACAGCAGAACCCTTTTTGGTGCTATATAGGAAGTAAATCTACAGGAGAAGACTGACCAGAAGCTACTGTGAAACATGAACTACAATCAGGGGAATTATAAGACCACCCACATGCACTGCTGAGGCCCACAGTTGAGTATACTACACCATGAGGGAACTCTAGAGCTCTGAAGAGGGGAGTACTGACCTACTGACCTCTGCTCTTAGACAAATCTGGGGTGCGGCATTGTGGCTAAAGGTCTAATGGGCTGCAGAAAGAGACTCAAGAATTCAAATAAGGTTGAAAGCGTAAGAAGGTTGCTTTGCGCTGATTTGATTAGGTGAGGAAACAGAGACTGAAAGCTGCAGTGACACAATTCAGTCAGGTCAGAGTACGGATGCATGATAACATCATGAAGTGTGATGTTTGATAAAGCTGTTGAATATCACAATGAGGACATGAGAAGCGATAAATCAGTATTAAACTACTGGATCTATGACTGTTTTTGGTGTGTACGCAGAAATCTGATCTCTCCTTTACGCTAATAGAAATCCCTTTTCATGCATTTCAACTCTCAATGAAGTCAGCTTCTTTTTCGCCTGCTTCTGTTTTGAATTTTCCCGTTCCACCTTAAAAGGTGCAGCAGCTAGACTACATTCCAGCACCTCAGCTTCTTGTTCCAATTTTCCCGTTCTGCTTTAAATTGTGCCCTCATGCTTAAGACTACTAACTGACTTGGACTTTAGATTAAAATCATTTTGCTTTGAATGACCCTGTGTCTTAATTAGGTTTACTTGATTAAAATAAATGAAATCAAAATAAGTATAATGCTACAAAACTTTACTAAGCGTTTTAGTAGTGACTGTTTCGGTAGTGACCATTTTAGCTAATTTTGAGCAGAACTCACAAAAGGCTATCCAGTACATGACTAGCAAACACAGCTTTGAAGAGCTGTACACATAAAATCATGACATTTTTATTAAAATACAAAAGGTTTACTTTATCGCAGAAAACGTGTTTCAGTAATGACAATTCCTAATGTTCCACACTGATTTTCAGACTTTGGGACACATTTTCGTCAACACAGAAAGATCTTACTGCTCAACCTGTGGCCGAAAGGGACAGGGAAGCTGTCTCAGTCTCTGTGTTTCGATAAGGACATGAAAATGTGGGATAAAAAAAAAAAAAAATTCACTAATTTAGGGGTTAGGCTTTGGGACAGACATCTCTCAGCAGAAAGTACCCTATAAATTATGGTTTTGTATATATTTAGCTTATTACTATCTCAATTAATAACTTGGGTGTAGCTCATAACATAATTCTTGTAAATATCTAAAGTCTGAATACTTAATTTTTTAAACCATGGCACAAGAGTTTGAACCAATTCAACAGAATAGTATATATTCTTGGTCACTAAAAACAAGTTAAAAGCACAATAAACCATAGGAGAACTCTTCCCATTCATTTCGGATGGGACTCAAAGCAGTGACCTATTGTCAGCCTGATGAGCTTCCTCAGTCTGCGCACCACAGTGTAAACATGACTGTGATATGGCCCAGACCCCTAAACAGTTTCAGAGTTAAAACCCCAAATGTAAATTTAATGATTTAAAAGTGTCCCTGTTCCTCATCCCTGCCGAGCCTTGACCCAGATTCTGAAGTAATATCAACTTGCATCCAGCCTGATAAGTGTTAGCATCGTTCCCTATGAAGCTCAGAGCCTGCGCTCTTTCTTTTTCCCCTCTGTTTCCCCAGCTCGTCAGGCTCCCTTTCAGCATTATTTTCATATAATCACAGAATGTAAATGGGTTTGAGTCACCCTTCAGGATGTGAAGGGCCAACAGAGAGATGAGATGAGGTGAGATGAGACCGCTGCGGAGCGGGGGATGAATTGGAACGCAGCCCACACAGCGCTGATTCTTAGGGTAGTTGATGGATGCTAGACAGATTGGGTGTAATGTATACTGCAATACACTCATCACTGAATAAGTGCATGCGTGTGTGCGTGTGTGTCATTGTGCATAAGTGAGAGAAACAAGTGTGTGAGAGTGTGTTTTCAGCCTCAGGTGTGGGGGTGGATTATGAGGGTCTACTTTTGAAGCTAAATCCTCTCTCCAGCCTCTCTGTGATTTTACTTACACGATTCTTTTGTGTATTGTTTTCTTTGTACAGTACTGTCCAAAAGTCAGAGGTCACCCTTTTGTTTACTTCATTTCCAGCCAAAACAGTCACCGAGTACAAGTTCAGTGTCAGAAAAAAACTGGTAAAAACATATATTTGACAGAAAATGACACCTAAATATCATTTCAATTTTTTCAGTATTTAGGACAAAATCAATCTATCTATCTATGTGCTACAACTGAATTAAATGTCTATTGCTAGTGTATAATAAAAAACTCTAAGATCAATAAGATCATGCTACACACTGTAATTACCTACACAGTGTGCTGTTCTAAAGGACAGTCTACAGGACTACTCAGACTACATTAGTCATACTAGACTACACTCCACAATTATTACTGTCAGACTGTAAAAACTACACACTGCAGATTCATACTGGGTTAATATCACTCCACAATTATTACTGTCAGACTGTAAAACTACACACACTGCAGATTCATACTGGATTAAAATCACTCCACAATTATTACTGTCAGACTGTAAAACTACACACACTGCAGATTCATACTGGATTAATATCACTCCACAATTATTACTGTCAGACTGTAAACACTATATATACCGTAGATTCATACTGAATTAAAATCGTTCCACAATTATTACTGTCACATTGAAAAATGATAAAGACTCACAGAATCACAGAATTTGTTAGTTATCACTTACACTACACTGCCTCCCTGAGTTAAACTAACCCAGCTTGAATAGGGTTTAAGACAATAGTGGAAAATGAAGGTTGACAGTATTTCACTCAGTTCTCCAGCAGCTGTGTTAAGCTCCTGTGATTGTGTGTACGGCTATAGGTGTGTGTCACTCACTTTTCTGCCGAACTGTCAGGCTCTATAAATCGGATGAGGGGGGGTGCAGAGAGGGTCTCTGTGGCGAATATTCCTCCTTGCAGCTGAACTCCAAAACCATTTAGAGGATCTCCTCTTAAAGTGACCTCGCTGGACTCTATGTGAACAATCTGGCCTCCTGGACCCACTGAACTGGAAGCTAAAGACACAGCTGAAAAAAAAAATAGGTATGACTGACCCCTTTGGACAGACAATTTTGCTCCAAAATTGAAAGAAAATGTTATAATAAATTCTCAAACAATTAAAGTGATAGTAATCTAATTTACAAATTTATTTAATTTAGAAATTGAATTTACACAATTTTCCCCTTTACCCAAACACATTAGACCTAAGTTTATTTTGTACTGGTTATGAGGCTAATTAGTTGTTATGTGCACCATTTGAACATTTCGGATGGTTGGTTTTCACTCTGGAATGGCCAACAAAATGTTGGTCCTGAAAAAAGTTAGACTGCAGCTCTGCTAAACAATCTCAAATAAACGTGTTTGCGTGGTTTCTGCACTGAGCTACAAACTGTGTCTATAAAAAATGGGTGAAAGAGGAACTTGTGCATACTTGTATAAACAATACTGCTGCTTTGAAGAGCCCATAATCTACATTTCTCTTGTATTTTACTATTTTTTCCCAAGGCACACATTTGTGTGATTTTATGTACCAAAAACAGTCGTAATTCATATATTTAGTCATATTAGTTATAGCACTAATATATCCAGGTTCAAATAGTCCACATACCTTCAGCATGAATGGGTGGGGCTAAATTGCTGTAGGCTGAATGTCTGAATGGGTGGGACTAAAGTGTTTGAAGTTGAAGTGAAGCTAAACTGCTGAGAAAATTAGAATTAAAAAGCAGTAGGAATTTATTTGCTCAAAAAAACATTCATATCAGAATGAACACAAATAATATCGATACAACGAACACTGATTTTATGTATGTCCATCTGTGTTTTCTCCTCATGGCAGCACAGCATTATTTGTGGTTATCATCCGATACCTGGTTTGGCTAATCAATGCCTCATTATGTTAATTCAGATGTGCTGGTGATGGAATTTAATAAACCCATGTGGTGGCTGGGGGCATCCAGGAGACATCTGGAAGCAAAGATTGTTCTTCAAACTAGCTCAGAAGATATTATCTACTTTTCTGACAATGATAAATCCTACTTTTTACTGTATTTACGTTTATTTACACCTATTCTAATGATCTGTGGTACCTGCATAAGCAAAAGCAATCTTATTGCCAAAATAAATGGCTAAAAAAACTATCACAGTAATGTATATAAATGAACTGATTTTTGTGACATCACAAAAAACAGTAAATTCAAGCTATGCTGTTTTTGTAGCTTAGTTTCCATTTATGGAATTACGGACTGAAGAGAGAACGGTTCACTTTGAAGCAATGTTTATATGCTCAATTATTTCATAAAAATCAGGAAAAAAATTTTTCTCCACGATATAGGCCCTTTAATATTGCCTTTATACAAGTAAATTTATTTCATGTCATGTTGCACAGATATTTAACACTGAGAAAGCAGGCTGAATATATAGTCAAATATTTTCCCAAAGAGAATATCATATACAGGATATCACATTACACAAGTATAGGATGGTATGTGAGAACTGTGGGAGTCACTGAAGTCGGTATGAGTCCTCTATACAAACACGTGGGACGATGTCTCTTGATGTGAGGAATCAAACTAAAGTCAGAGGCTCTCTCATCCCAGCATGCTTCTGTTCCTCCACCATGTTGTGACACGAAGCACAAAGTGACATGAATGTGAAGTTTCTACTCACACACACTCGCTGCTTTCAAACTACATTTAAACACCAGTCACACACACACACACACACACACACACATCCTCACAAAGTCACTTACAAGAGCTCTTGTGCTCTTTTTTCCTCTGTCTCCTCTTCAGCATGGAGTTGCGGGGGCTCATGGGGTGGGTTGTACGGGGCAGAGTGCTGGATGACTGGCTGGTCATGCCTGATGTAGTGGTGGAGCCGGGGGAGAAATTAGTGGAGACTACAGCTGTTAAAAAGAGAGAGAGAAAGAAAAAGAGAGAGAGATTTCTTTTCTTTCTGTCATTCTTCAACCCTTAAAGGTCCAGGGTCCACCAGCAGGCTCAAGGTTTTATTACACTTCTATACCCTAAGAATAGCTCAGCCAGTTTGCACTGAAGTCCCTGTAGTTACTGAACAAAAGTGTGGGCTATAGAGGTATAAAGGTATAAGGAGGTATAAAGCACCCCAGCATTGAGCTGTGGAGCAGTAAAACTCTCTGGAGTGATGGAGCTCCAACCAATACCCAGTAGGATGAGTTGGAATGTCCAGAACTAATCATCCAACATCAGTACCTGACCTCACTAACATTTCTGTGGCTGAGGAAATGCCAGAATGAGCAGGTGTCTAAGCTTTTGGACATAAAGTGTATTGGTAATGTATATACATGCCACGTCATTACTTGTACTGCTTCTGCAAAATTGTTTATTGACCACCAATAATGTATTATATAAATTAAAAGAATGCGGAAAATAAGAGGAAGACACATAGAGAGAGAGAGAGAGTGAGAGAGAGAGAGAGAGAGAGAGAGAGAGAGAGAGAGGGAGAGAGAGGGAGAGAAAGGAGAGGGAAATTGGAATCTACTCATAATTGATGTCTGCGCCTCTTGTCATGTTTTCTTTGAACATCTTTGTTCTCCACCTCCTTTCAACTACGCATTCAACACGTTGTTGTGTATTTCTGAGATCTTCTCATCTAGAATTTTTTCCTCCAGTGCCACACAAAGCAGCACCTGCACACTTGAAACCGGCGAGCTTCTCGCTGTCTCTTTAAAAGGGGTACTCCAACCAAAATATGTAACCGTTGCTGAGCCTGCTGTAAACATGCCCACTCGCCTCCTACAGTGCTGCAGTACAGCACACTACTCCCTAGAGTGAGATTTTCAGGTTAAAGACTAGGAAAACCCTTTTCTATAGATGTATCTTGAAGGTGGGAGGAACTATTAAAAAACTACAAGTGTTTCTGGATGGATACTTGAGGGCTGTTTGCTTTCTTTCTCTCCAGTTAGCCGGTTAATGTACACAGAGCTCCAGAAGGGATGTGGTGTATTTTAGGTAAGAGGGACATGGTGTATTTGTTTTTAGGTAAAAATCTTGTGCGCACAAGATACTAGCAGGTGAGCATCCAATACTATGTGGTGAGCACCCGATACTTTCAAGTAAGCATCAGATACTATGTGGTGAGCACCCAATACTGTCAGGTGAGGACCCAGTACCATAAAAACCTTAATAATTTACCAATTTGTCATTTTTTTAAATTAGTATCTGGTGTTCACCTAATAGTATCGGGTGCTCACCACATAGTATCTGGTGCTCACCACATAGTATCGGGTGCTCACTTGATAGTATTGCATGCTTACCTGATAGTATCACATGCTCACCACATAGTATTGCATGCTCGCCACATAGTATCGGGTGCTCACCTGATAGTATCTGGTGCGCACCACATTTTTACATTTGTACATGTAGAAGGAGTTGTAATGTTTAATATTTATTAGCCTCGTCATCACAGCACTTCTCGATCAACATATGGAGATTCCCAATAGTTGACATATGTGCACAATGCATGTTGGGTATTGTAGTGAGTGAATGAAAATGCAACACTGTGCTTTTGTGAATTCTGTCAAACCGATGTTGCACTACTATTTTGCATAACATGACAAATAACATTAATTTTAGTTTTAAGGACAGACTGCCCATTGGTTTTGGAGAGATTTTATATGCATATGATGTACGTAAATGAACTTTATTTTGACTCCTTTTTCAACGCTGCATGCTTGCATTAGTTTTGCTAAGTTTTGCTAACCTTTCTAAGTGAGTAATCATATGAATAGGAATATACATCAGACTTTAGTTCCCTTTTACTGTTAATCTAAGGAAACAAATACATTTTAAGTGTTATCAGAGCGAATGAATTGAGCCTAAGGTCACCCAATGCCTGAGCTAAAGCGTGGCCTAGAGGGGTATAAAGCCTTCCAGCATTGAGCTGTGGAGCAGTGGAACTGCATTTTCTGGAATGATGGAGGGTCACCCAATACCTTTAGGATGACCTGAAGTGGCTTTTGTGATCCAAAACTAATCATCCAACATCAGTACCTGACCTCACTAATCCTTACAGCAATGTTCCAACATCTAGTGTAAAGTCTACTCAGAAGAGTAGAGGCTGTTACTGCAGCAAAGAGGGACAAATTCACTATTAACAACCTTCATTTCAGAAGACAAGCAGGTGCTTACAAACTTCCCAGACAGGGATTAAGCCTAGTCCTAGACCACCACAGCATTCTGAATGGAGATTCTTCATTAAATGGAATATGCGGTACAGGATTCGCCTTAATCCCTTCCAGGAAACTCATAGTGTACCATGGTATTCATTTGCAGGGTGCTTGAAGTTGAAGAATCTACAAACATACTTACATTTGCAGTAGTCCTGAGTGCTGGAAGGGTTGCTTGATGTGGTGGTCCATGTGGAGGTCTTACAGTGACCAGGATGCTGGGAATGGCAGTAGTTCACACAGGGGTCCCAACAATGCGGGTGGTCACTCTTTTGGACTTTCACTGCATGCACACACACAAACAACTCTATTACTGTCACAATTCAGGCAGCAATTAAAACCACTGTTACTCATCCACTCTGAATACGCAGAAGGTTCCAAAAGTTTGAGACCACTGGAAATATGGGATCTCTTTCATTTAAACCTGGAAATAAACAAGAAGTTTTAAAAATCCAAAACAAAAGTTATGGCACGTAAAATTTAATTATTCAAGGTTCTGCACTATTTGTAGGTCACTATTGAAATTTAAGCAAATCGGTCACAGCAGGTGTGTTTACATGGACTTCATAATCCGATAACTGCAGAAAATCAGATTTTGTCAGTAATCCGCTCAACACATTTACATGCACTTGGTTAATCAGATAATGTGAAACTCCAGGTCTACATGAGTCAGACAGTAATCGGATTTCTGCTTTGCAACCAGCCAATAAACTCACAGAAGACGTGACATAAACATAATGTAAAACTTCATGCCATGGCTTGTAAATCACACCACTTTACCTGAAAATATGAAAATATATCATCTAGAACATAAATATTTAAATCCTTCATTTCATCATGCATGTAGTCAGTTTCAGTGTCACTCCAAAAGCGTTTTGTTACCGTCTCGTTTTAAATACTGCTTGCTTATTTACGGTACCGCCATCTGTTTCGCACTTGCGCAGCCTGAGAGAAGCGAAAGAAATCTGAGTAAGAGTTCACATGCACTGAGAAATCTGATCCAGCTCTTTTTATCAAATTTCTTGATCGAATTTCTAGACCAGAGGTCACTAATAGGTGGACCCAGACGCTGTCCTATGCGGACCTGGACCTATAACCGATAAACTATGAAGAATTCTTTAATTTTGATGGGGTGGTCCTATTTTAATCAGTGTAACTTTTCTAGTCATTACGGTACTGCTTTAGCGGCCCTGGAAACCCACAGAACATTCACATGCATCGTAAATATCACGTGACGCTACTCAGCCTATGACTGAGGCTCGAGTGAGTGTCACACACACAGGGGAGGGACGAGGGAGAAACAGCAGTTGGAGAAGAAAGTGAGTCAGAGGAAAGTTCATTCACATGGTGTGCTCAAAAAAGAGAAAACTGACAATAAAAGTTGTTGAAATATTACTGTATTGTACCTTATTTGATTTGACATTCAGTTGTTGACTGCATAAGATATTGATGTAACTACTAGGCTACTTCAATAAACAGTATATGGCAATGAATCATGATGCAAGTTAGACATTATTATGTTCTGGACTTGCTTGAGGAAATGTTCTCTAACCGGACCTTATTGAATTTTAATTACATACCCCTGTTCTAGACCTTACTCTGATCTAAGAAATCAGTGTGTCCTATTCTGGAGAAAGGTACAGATTTCTTTACAGTGGTGGAGAACCAGGGGTCACAATGACTACAACACAAATATAGCCATTTTATTTACTATTCAAAACCACCAGTGAACCTATATGTGTCTTCTGGTTTTTTGGTTTTATATGTAATGTTGAGGACGGCTAAATAGTGATAAACCCAAAAAAGTAAGTTTTTTTGGGGACTATTTTGCCTCACAATACCCTGCATGTACTCCTCCACCGTGAATGGATTTTAAAAAGACATCTTAGGTCAAAACGTTCTCAGACGTCAGGCAGTGTGTTTATAATCATTTAATGTAAAACATTTTCTGTGAGGGGGATTTTAAAGGCATTAAACTGTTAAGACGTCTGGTTCCTATCACCACCACTGTGAACAATTCTGACTCAGTAAGTTTCTCTAGAACAGGGCATTTCACACCAAACCACTCTGAATGACTTTATTTACATCTTGACCATTAAATCATGCAGAGATTTTGAGAAATCTGTGGAATCCTCTTTAAAAGAGTCTGTATAAAAAGGTAAGATTGTTTTTTTAATCTTCCACTGCAGCTCGTGTTCAGACGACTCTCAGGAGGACCTGATCTACTCATCAGAGGCTTTTGCAGAAACCCGTGGAGTGCAGCTGGAGTGCACACTGTAAATAAGCAAAAGGATGACATACTGTACCAAACAGTAAGAAATCTGTGAATATTTCAGAGATTTCAGAGATAGTTTTCACTCAAATTGTTAAACTGGTAATATAATCTAATGATGTTGTAATAAAAAACAACAGAATGCAAAATTGAAGCATTTAGCGGTCTCAGACTTTTGGGTCCCACTGCTGTACTCAATTAAAGGCCCACATAATGGATATATCACATCTATATATGGACACTATGCAGGAAAACAGCCTGTTTTGGTCAAATTACATATTTTGTTTGTATTCTGCAATAAAAATAAATGAACACATCCTCTACAGCAGGCATGTCAAGCAGGGGACCTCCTGGGCCAAAGTGCTGCAAAACTAGTATTTATTCTCATCTAAAAAACTCTGAATTCAGTTCATGAAGGCCTTGCTAATTGGCTGATAAGCTTAATTTAGGCATGTTTAATGAGACAGTGTGTTGACGTCTGTGTTTCAGCCTGTGAGGACTGGAGCCTGACGCACATGCTCTACAGAGAACACACTTACATTTACCATTTTCTGAATTTAACATATTGTGAAAAAATAAAAGATAAAATGTGGCCTGTGCAAAAGTTACAGCACACTTTATATTTTCTTACATGTGGCACTGCAGTTTTTTGTTTGTTCCAACTCTTTAAATTTCAGAAAAAACTAAATGTCTTGATGCATATTGTTAAAAATGTCTCAAAGTATCATGACAAAATATTTTTGCCATACCGCCCACCACTAATGACTGTACATATATCAGTCTTAAAAGCACAGTCACAAAAACAGTCTATTTAGTTCTAAAGGACAAAGTGAGGACATGTAAAAATGGTAAATAAAACCACACCAATGTTATTATTGGACCTCAGGGGAAAAACTAAATATAGGAAAAAATGTGGGATATGGGCCGTTTAATGCTATGAAAGGCTAGCACAGCATGTTATTCTCTGACATGTGGAAAAACACTTTTTGCATTTAATATTCAGCATAAAGGAAAAAATTCAATCACACCAAGTCCTTGATGGCACGTCACCAGTCAGAGTTGGTCGTCTTCTAAATGTCATGTTTAGTAATTCGTTCTTGCATAATGCGTTTTTCCAAATTCCACAAAAACAGCTACAAGCTGAAATGACCCATTTAAAAGTGTGTGTGGTTGGGGGGGGGGCGGGTCATTGGGGACGCCAAATGTTGTGCATAACAAAATTGAATATTACCTCGCTGATAGGGTTCACTGCATTCACAGTGTGTACAAACAAGCAGCGTCATGCAAACAAGGCACAGAAGTCAGTCATATTGCTTAGCTTTGTTAATAATGAAGGAATTGAGCATTGTGAGGGATTATTAATAGTGGGAAAAGCATTAATAAAGCACACAATGCTGAAATCCTTTATTTGGAGTCCCGGGGGCCTGCTCAAGCCGTATTTGAATGATAATCTCCACTCTAATACACTGGTCTGGAAAAAGAATGCTCTTCCAAAACAATGAGGAAGCTCATTTGGAACGGGTTAATGAAGTCTTGCCTGCTGGAGGCTGGGTGAATAATTGAGTGAGTGTGCGTATATGTGTGTGTGTGTGTGTGTGAGAGTGTGTGTGTATGTTTATGCTCATCGCTCCAGGCTGTGGCATCTCCTATAACACTCTTCCCAAATAAAGCATGCAACATAATACCAGCCCATATTTGGTGTGTGCATAATAAACACAGTACATTTCAACAGCTTTGACAACAAAAAATAGACCAATACCTTCTCCAAAATGGACCAATAACCTTTTTCGAGTAAGGTTAATGTAAAAAAATCGGGCCAGGCTTTATTTCGATGGCTTGATAGTTCCGCACCAGCATACTTGCAAATACTAAAATTGTTAACAAACTACTTAAAGAAAATCAGATCATTAACAGCATTCAAATTTGGATTAAAACTAGGGTTAGGTTTGAGCTGTGATTAAGTTTAAACTGACTCTTAGGTTTAGGATTACAGAAACACCCTACAGTACTGTGTAAAAGTCAGAGACCACCCTTCATTTATTTAATGTCCAGTCAAATTTAACTGAAACTTACACAGAAGTCTCAACAACTAAATATAATATAATTTTTCAGTATTTCCTCTGTCCACTGTTCTTCAAAGAAATCTGCAGGGATATTTTTCCACACCTGCAAAGTTCAGTCTTAGACGTTGGTTGCTTTTCACAATCCATGTAATCAAACACATTCAGTGATGTTCTAGACTCTGGGGTGGTCAGTTCATTGTTCTGAGAACACCAGAGCTTCTTTGTTTAATGTGTTAATGTATTTCCTTTTATCCCTGACTGTGTTTACATGCAAAGATTTTTGGCAATTCAATTGAATATATTCCGATTATAGATGAAGACTGAGGTGTTTATATGCTCACTCTACTCAGCAATCTAATGGAAAATCTCATGCTTTATCATTACAATCTTTATCATTACAATCATTACATGCAAACTACAAGTAATCCGATCCAAAATTACACGCATGCATAGGGTACCTCTTATTGTAGACGCTACCATGACAACAAGCATCACATGAGTCCAGTCAGAGTGAGATGAGCAGCAGTGAGCAGTGCTTGTGTTTTTAATTACTTTAAGATGATGTCAGACTCAGGAAAACATGCTTCACATGTTCTTATTAAAGAAGGGCGAGAGGAAGACGTCGTGTTCTGAGACACAGAAGATGGACGTCCGTCCCACTGCCGTCTTTTAAAGATCAAAGCATAAACTTTGTCTCCTCTGCAGACCAGTTTCTGCTCCCGCCATGTTGAACATTATGAACTTTCACTATGAATTGACGGGCATGCAAAAAGTACTTAAACTTTCTGATTGGGAATGTAATCAGATAGAAATTGTATTCTGAATGGCCTCAATCAGGCTAGTCTACTCTGATTGAGGTGTTTACATGGACGTATTCTATTCCAATTAAGTTTTTAGTTGGATTAATGTAATATTAGGTTGCATGTAAACATGGCTAGTGATGGTTTC